AAATTTACTGAAAGTTACTAGAAAAAGATACATGGAATATCTCTGAATTATTTTCTACACATGCATACAAATCAACAATTATCTCAAAAAGTATCATAAGTGTGATAAGAACATCCCTAAAGAGAAAGAAGGATTTTTTTTTGTGGGGGAGGGAAAGGTTTGCTCTTGTCACCCAGGCTGGAGTGCAATGGCTCAATCTTGGGTCACTGATACATTCAAGCAATTCTCCTGCCTCAGCCTCCCAAGTAGCTGGGATTACAGGAACCCACCACCACACCCGCTAATTTCAAGAATATATTTTAAAAGAGAGTGCTCTGTATAAATTCTCAGCATTAGACAGCATTCCTGTGTACTTACTAAGTATTAACAAAAGTATATGGAATGATTTTAAATCATTTTTTTCCTGAATACTAGATGGTTACTAGATGATTAAATGAAGACAAGCTGGATTGATTTGAACTGAACTTCAGGTGAAGTAGGACCTTCGTGAGGTGGAAGGCTAGAGATAGAAGCACCTATTGAAGTCTTCTTGGAGATGATGGAGGATTTATTTTAGGATTATCTTAAGATTCATGTTTTATAAATTGGACAGACTCTGAAAGTTCATAGAAGACTTTTCTATATATTTTTGAATATGGAAGACAAGTTATCAAAAGTGAGAAGAAACCCATTTCTGTTTTTTCAGGCATAAAAATGTATAGAGATGGTGAGAGACTGTCCATTTGTGAGGTAAAGAAGGCATAAAGAGAGCACAACCTTTTGTTTTGTAATGATAGGAATTCATATTTTACAGAAGAAAAATCAAAGAACTAAAAATTTAGAACCCTTGTTTCTGATACTTACCTCCCATGCTGCCCTCCCTTTATTCAGTATGTGCGTTTCCTCCCCACTAATTGCATATGAATCAGAGAGCCATCAGCTGCTTCCATTGTCACCGAATTTGGATCATGTGATAGACACAGTGGCAGTCGTCTGCACTGTATTTCATTTTACCTCAGGAATCAAGATCTAAAACTACCAGAAATGGTTATTACTAAAAAACCGAGGATGCAATTTGTGACATCGTAGCCCCATCTGCTGGATGATTCCATGCTTCTAGAGCTATTTCATTCTTTGTCATATTTTGTGTATCATAATTTCAGTGATAGCTTTATTTCTACAGTTCCTCTTGCTCATCCTCCCCAAGGAGAAAGCCTTTTTGGTAGGCTCAGTTTAGGTGGCTGGCAAGTAAAATTTCCTATCTGTTGCAAGTGTATCTCCTGTTTATAATGGTTATTCAGTTATTTATGTACAAAGAAACATTTATATAAGGTACTTTAAGAAAAGAAGTTATTTTTCTGTTTCTTAAAAAGGAGTTCTGGCCAGGCACAGTGACTCATGCCTGTAATCCCAGCACTTTGGGAGGCCAAGGTGGGAGGATCATGAGGTCAGGAGTTCAAGACCAGCCTGGACAATATGGTGAAACCCCCTCTCTACTAAAAAATATGAAAATTAGCTGGGCATGGTAGCACACAACTGTAGTTCCACCTACTTGGGAGGCTGAGGCAGGGGAATCACTGGAACCTGGGAGGTGGAGGTTACAGTGAGCCAGGATCATGCCATTGCACTCCAGCCTGGGCAACAGAGAGACTCTGTCTCAAAAAAAAATAGTTCTATTCTTTTTAAAGTGGAATCTGACAGGATCTTTTGTTTCTAAGAGGTTTCATTCCTTTTTTTAAGCAAAAACTACAGCTTGGGGTTTTTTAAACATGCAGTGAATGTTTTGACCAAATATATATAATTTTACTTCCAGTGTTTTAACAATGACTTTTCTAAGTGGAAGACCCTAGTAGAAATTGACATGTCTTAGTCAGTGACGTGGAGTGAGAACTTACCTTAGTACAAATCCCACTGCTAGCTACTAAGAAGCTTTATCGGGTTTAATGGGGAAAAGCCTTGTACTGATACATATTGTACATATGTTTGCATGTAATGTGTACTTGTGTACATAGTGTGTACTTATACATATTATATGCATATTACATGTGTGGATGGAGTCATGTGTGTCCTGACTTTAATGCTTCAGTGCTCATATCTAAGGTGTTCCTTTGAGCTCTGAGGTGATGTGCATGAAAATTTTAGTCAGCTCCTGGGTGACCCAGGTTAAATATGAGGGCTCTGGTGTAAAGCAAGGACCATACTGCATCTGAGGGCTTCCCTGTGTCCCTGGGATTGGTCTCCACATACTAACAGTCAAGTGGAGAGAAGGAAGCTGGATGGAATGAGGGGGAGGACTCAGGACTGACCCCTCTTCCAAATACCACAGAGTTCCTGTGTATATACAGAGCCTCTGTACACATTACAAGATTCTCCCTGGTCCTATTGGAGGAATGGCTGCCGTGGCTTTTTTTATGATCCTTGCAGATATAGCTCTGCTATTACACTGTGGGTGTTCAACACGTCAGTCAGACTGGGTATGGATTCCTTACAGAGCAGGGCCTTGTCTCATTTAACAGCTGCTTCACTCCGCTCATTGCTTCTCTCTACTGGATCTTAACAAATGTTTGTTGGATTAAATTATAGATCATAGATGATGAAATGATATGTAGTATACATAGTCTTGTGGTATTATTAAAGCAGATTTTTTTCTTTTCAGCAAACCATTCCTCAGGCAACTGCAGCAAAATATCCCCGGACCATTCATCCTGAAAGTAGTGCCTCAGCTTCTAGATCACTTGGAACCAGATCAGCTCACACCCAGTCTCTCACAAGTGTTCAGTCCATAAAAGTGGTTGACTGAAGTGAATATGCCCATAGTGGGGTCTTTTAATTCCTCTGGACTTACCAAGGGTTAGAAGTCTTTTGTTTTTAACTTTCCATATTGTTAGAACATCATGGATACATCATGTTCATCTGTTCAGAATTACAAGAGGCTTTTTCAAGCTCTACCATGCTTTGTAACTATATGTAGAAATTATTTTAATGTTATTTTTTATTTAAGTAATTAAGTAAAACTTTTTTAAATTAAAAAAGAAACTGGACTTTATTTTTTAATATGTTTAGCCTGTTGCTGATTATATCATCAAAGTATATAAATTTTTTTCACTATTTATAAAACACTAAATCATTTCCAATGTTACACAGCTGTAATTCACTCAAAGTGTTGAGAGGGAACCTTACTTAAACTATTAGAACTAGTAGAAACTGTGATATTTTTATTTTTAATTTAAAAAGTTAAAGGCCGAGTGTAATAATGATTTTTTTTTTCTTTTTTTTTTTTTTGAGACAGAGTCTTGCTTGTCACCCAGGCTGGAATGCAGTGGTGTTACCTCAGCTCACTGCCTCCTTCTCCCATGGTCAAGTGATTCTCCTGCCTCAGCCTCCCAAGTAGCTGGGATTACAAGTGCCAGCCACCACGCCTGGCTAATTTTTGTATCTTTTTCAGTAGAGTTGAGGTTTTACCATGTTGGCCAGGCTGGTTCCGAACTCCTGACCTCAAGTGATCCTCCCGCCCTAGGCTCCCAAAGTGCTGGGATTACAGGCATGAGCCACTATACCCAGCCTCAAGTTTTCTGTGGCTTTTGTCTGTTAGTCTTCATTTTTCCAGGACTCTGACAGTTGACAATAGATGGAAATGGCAACACCTATGTTTAATGCCAAAAGGGAAAACATTTTTAATGCTAGAACAGAGTTACTGAAGTATCAGAAATTTCCCGTTAGAATGATCCTGTTTCTGGTATTCTTTCTCACCTTATTTGAAACTCTGCAGCACTGAACCGACATTGTTCCCCCTAAAAATCTAAACACTGTTCTGTGATGATATAGCCTTGTGCAACTCAGCAAACCTAGGCCTGGGCAGAAATTGTTCAGTGACTGGCCAATACAAAGAAACCATCTGGGCAGAACTGATTTAGGTGAGCAAGACCTGGCTTCTAATGGTTTTATTGCTGACTGTGTGGGCCACACAATTTAAATGACTCTCTGGCTCCTCATCTGTTTACCTACTATTTCACAAGTACTTATGTAATACATAAAAATGAGCAGGTTCTAAAGAGTCTGTCCAGGACCTCAATTTCCATATCTTTAACAGAGTGGATGGACTTAATCATCTGTAGCCTCTTCTAATTTGAATATAAGTTCTCTGCACTTTTATTATAGGAAATAGGTTTTCTTGCTGCCTCACATGTTCACAGGACATTGGAGAATAAATGTGATACAGGCAAATAGAATCCCATTTTCTAATGGGGCCCATTAAGGCCTTTCTGAATTATTATCAGGCTGTTTCTTAAAGGGTATTAGATATTTACACAACACTTTTTCTGGGTTCTGGTCCAACTACCATTGTGGCAAACAGCTCCACCCCTCATGGGCTTCAGCAAGCTTTTCATGAACACAAACCACCAGCACCTCATCTCGCACCCTTTCTGTGTGCATGCTCTTCCCGGGCTTCTCTGTTCACTCCCAGTTTTGTTGGGAGAGTACGGGCTCCACTGGGGAGCCCACTCATGCAACCCAGAATTAACACCCACATCGTGGTAAACAGACCAATTCTTCCTTCCTTCTCCCCTGTATGAATTGTCCTGAGATGTATTAGTACATAGTGTCTCTCAGAATAAAGTAGCCCACGATTAAATAATCAGTTATGCTTGTACCAAGTACCAAGTGGTGGTGGCAACTTTGGTAATTCACTTTGTCCTCCTCATTCTCCCTCCTTCCCTGGACAACTCCCCTTTTCCTCCACTCCTGCTTCCCTATATGTACACTTCTGAAAAGGTTGTTGCACGTAAACGTCGGCCTTAAGCTCCACTTTTTGAGGAATCTAGACTACAGCTAGGAATGGTTTTCAGTATTCACGCCAAAACGATATGGACAAACTAAAGTGAATATTATGAATGTTGTGATTAAGAATATTATAAACATCTTTTTAAGCTTTAAGCTCTAGAAATGTATGTTGTCTAAAGCACCAAGCAATTAATGTTGGCCTAAGTTAATGTAAATTCAACAAACACTTTACACAGTTGAGTATGTATTCATATTTGTTTATTTTCACATAAAGAGGTTACCCCAATCTGGTGGGGAGCAGCGATAGGTCAGTGGAAACTGGCCATGCTGAAGAACAGATGGGATAAGACTTCTCAATACATTTTTGAAAAATGTTTTGGATGCATGTGAATCTATTACCTGTTTTAAACATTCATAATATTGTTGGCCATTTACAATCACTATGAGACAAAGACATAAAACTACAAATTCATGATAGAATAACTGGATTGAAATTGTTCATGATTTTATTATGTGCCTTGTAAATTTAGAGTCAGAATCTGAGAATGGAGTCTTAAATTCTAATGAATAGGTGACATAAACTGACACAAATTCATACTTGATTTTACATTTATTTCATAACTCTCAGGTTTCAAAAATAATGCATGTTTGTTGTGAAGAAACTGGAATTTGCCCAAAAGTACAAGGAAAGTAATAATCTGTAATTAATTACAACACCAAGAGATTTTTTTAAAAAATTGGTGTACATACTTCTGGTCTTTTCGAAGTAATATATTACACATTATGTGTGATTTAAAGTCAACAATGACTGTAAATTTCCAAACCCAGTTTCTCTTACTGAAACAGTTGATCTCCATACTGTGGGCATGAGGCTAGCTAGGCATTTCACAGGCATTTTCCCTTCATCTTCACTCCAGTCCTATGGATTGAATAGACATTTGTCCCACTTTATAGGAAACTGAAGCTCTAAGAACTTAAATATTAACATGCTCAAAGATTCACATCTAATAAGTGGCAAAACCAAGTTCACGACCATATCCGTCTCTCGTAAAAACCATTGGTTTTTTGCTGTACCATGATGCTGGTACAGTTTTAAAAAAAAGTTTAAAAAAAAAAAAAAAAGACAGCAAAACCCTCCTAGATTATCTTATTACATGTGTTCCATCAAATGACAGAAATGGGAAAATCATATACAACTTGCCCTCAACAAAAAAAACTATTTGACTTTTCAGTGGTTGAAAAGTATCATGGTATTACTCTTCTTTCATCTGTTAGAGTACCCTATCACCGCCATCACCAGAGCTGGAAATCAATGCTACTGCCTACTGCTGGAAGAAATTTATGGCATTAAAAGAACTGAATGCTGAGTGGAAAATCATGTAAATACAATTTCTTTAGGCATTTATGAAACTACACATTTCTTGGAGTTTGAGTCAGTTTTGCTTTTGAAATGACGAGTCTTTTCTGGAAAAAATAAGATGAGATTTATTAATACCTAACATTTTGAAAGCACTTACTTTGTACCAGGCACTATTGCTCATTAAATCCCACAACAGTCTTTTGAAGTAAACATTTTTATTTTCTTTCCTAGTTAATAAATGAGAAGATTGTCACAGGGAGGTCACAGAGCTTGCTCAAGATTTACAACCAGTCAGCTTTGGAGTTCAAGAGTGAACTCACACAGCCTTGCATCAGGACACACACCCTTAGCCAGTTCAGTGGGCTGCATCTTCGTCTTCTCCAAGGGTTCTTTTGAAACCTCTTTCAGGGGAAGAATACATTTAACCCTTTTCCCATTTAGAAAAAAAGTGCAGCTCACTGCCAGGGCTTCAGCTTTACATAAATACGCTCTTTGAGGCGGAAGTAAATCTGACTGATTTTCAATGTGAAAAATATAAAAACTGTTCTTGGAGTTATTTCTAAACAGAACTAACATCAGGATAGTCTGAATCATCCAAATTGTCAATTTCTGAAAAACTGGGTTCACTGAATGAATCTTCAGCCGACAATTGTTTGAGAATAATGTTAACATCACATGTAGGAATGCTATATTTTCTAGGACTTAACATTTTCAAACAATCAAGAGTTTCCATATTTTGTACATGGAAATGCCACTACTAAAAACAGAATGCTACAAGTAGAATGATGTCTTTTGTTTCCAAAGTCAATATACTGCAGCAATGCAAAAATAATAATAAAAGTAAGATAATTCATGGCACAGTTTCCTCAGGGGAAATGCTGCAAGCACCGCTGGTGAGTATTCTCGGGGCAAATGGGAACAGGGTTAAGAGAAAATTTCCGATCGTATGAGATAATGTGATGAAAAGTAGGTATCCACACACTGTTCCTTGTACCTACTACTGCTGGAAACTACTAGATCACTCAGTGTTCATTCATTTATCTTCTTGCTCTAGGTAAAACTGCTTCGTAAAAATAATGGCAGATGTTCCTACATTTTGCTTGAATGCTTGCTATTATATGAGAGCTACAACACCTCCTAATTTATTGATAAGTTTTTAAAGCATCTTTCCTGACAATATAGTCAGTCATTTTGGCAGAGTGATTTTTAGCAATAACCTCAGGTGGCCTGTCTGCTCCTTTTGTTCCACCTAGAGAAAACATTTTCAGATCCATTAACCTGCGGTTTTTCAACGGGCAAAATGGCATTTTGAGCAAGACAACTCTTATTGGTGGAGAACAATCCTATAACTGTATGGGATGGTTTAGCACTTCTGCCCCATCCCTCCTCCCCCGACTACACGTACACATAAGCAAAAACACTCCCACAGTTCTTCAAATGCCCAGCAGGGGGATGACATAGAACTACCAGGCTGACAGGTGACCAGTATTCACTGGATCATTCCCCAGAGAAGAAGCTGCTGACAGCTTACAAACCCCTTGCATAGCTCCATACTCCATGTGAGCCACAGCTAACACCACGCTGGGACTGCAGCTGGTCAGGATGGTGTTTCTGTAGACTGCTCCCTGACATTTTAAGGGAGAAAGAATTTCTGTTGAAACTGTCACTTACCAGCTAGTTTGGGGAAACCTGCACGTACCAGCTCTTCATACAGGTGCTTGGCCGGATCAGCCTGAGTCATCAGGGTCCCATGTAGCCAGATAAGTAGAGCCCTGTGGCCATGTTCACGGAAGCTTTCATTTCCTGCACCAAGCACAAGAGGTCCGAGGTAAAACACCATGAGCTGCTATCTCTTTCCATTGTAATCTCAATTCCAACTAAACTTTCTGAATGACTGTGGTTGCAAGTCCGTTCCTCTTCGCATAAAGCCCTTCCCATTGCCCTCACTGTACTGCCTTGTGGTGACCAGCATTTGCATGCCCTCCAGCCCTTGCCATGATGCACCTGCTGTGCTTGACACACACCCAAAGGAGTGTACAAGAGAGGACAGTTGTAGTGCCTGCCCAGTGGTAACAATTTTGATGAGATGTGCAAATTCTCACAGACCAATGCTCCTCAAACTCACAGTGCTTCTTTCACCTGAGTATCTTACTAAAATGTAGGTTCAGATTCAGTAGATCTGGGGTAAGAATCCATGCATTCACCAACTCTCGGGTGCTGCCACTAATGCTGCTCTATGTTCACCACTCTGAGCTGCAAGCATGCACGGTTCATTTTGCCACTCCAGTTTCAAGGATGCTACTCTGATGGAAGTTTGCATCCCTGGGCCAGGGTTATTCATTTGACAAATAATCACTGAATAACTCAGCCTGGAGAGGTGTCGGGGAAGTACTGGGATTGGGAACCACAAAGCCACTGTGGCTCCCAACAGGAGTTCAGTTACCAACACACTACAGACTCCTTGCTGTGAGGGAGAGTGTGCAGGAGCAGACATGCTGTGCAAGGAAAGAGGCTTAGCTCTGCGGGGGCAAGGGAGAAGTTCACTGGACAGACTGTTAGAGAGGCGGGCATTTCAGGGAGAGGAACTGCATGCTTCCAGAATGTACTCCTGGGCAGGTCCTCTGTTCCTTTCCTAATCTTGCTCTTGATACACTAATTTTTCTTAAATACCATCATGAACCTGTCACTTCTTTACTCAAAAGCCCACAGACTCCCTGGTGCTAGTAACCTTACCCTAGATCACAACATAATTGAATTGTAAATGTCATTGTTATTGTGCCGACTAGATTATAAACTCCTTCGAACATGCAAGGTTTAGAGAGCTGATGTATGTATCCCTCATCCGGCAGAGATAAACAATCCAGGCCCTCCGTAAAGGTTTCATCGAAACACCTTAAAATCCCCCTTATCCTATTGCCAAGTACTCTGAAGGTACACTGTATTTTCAGGTCATCTCTTTAGGTCAAGATAGAGTTCCAGGAGGCAACTCAGTTTTCCTAAAGACTTCACAGAACACTATAAGCCTTAATCATGACAAAAAAGAAATCTTAACAATAAAAAATCTTTTCTAGTTAGAAACTAGCTAGTATTCAATGTTTTCAATACCTTATCTTCTATCTCTCACATGAAAATGTATCCTAAGCATGAGCAATACACAGTCCCATAATTTACTTGTATATGGTATAAACAGCGTGTGCTCAATAGCTGTGCTTCTGCCATCCCCAGTTCCCAGCAATCACAAATACAAATCTATCCCTGAGCAGGGACACCTTCTCGTCTTAGGATGTCCACGAGAGGGCACTGCTCTGAATAGAAAACTTGGCCAAGAAACATATTTGCTTCATTGGTTATTTTATTTTTTATTTATTTATGTTTGAGACGGAGTCTGCCTCTGTCACCAGGTTGGAGTGCAGTGGCGTGATCTCAGCTCACTGCAACCTCCACCTCCCGGTTCAAGCAATTCTCCTACCTCAGCCTCCCCAGGAGCTGGGACTACAGACTCACACCACTATGCCCAGCTAATTTTTATATTTTTAGTAGAGATGGAGTTTTACCATGTGGGCCAGATCTCGATCTCTTGACCTTGTGATCTGCCTGCCTCAAAGTACTGGGATTACAGGCGTGAGCCACCGTGCCCGGCTGCTTCCTTGTTGAAGATAATTAGTTGATTAATGCCAAGCAAAATTTCTGTATTTCCTAGGTTTTGGTCTAACCACAAAAAAGCAAAACTAAGGAATCCAGCTGATCTGACCTCACTAATTCTGACAGCTTGAGTCCAGCTGAAATGATTTCATTGCTTGGAATCATCTAGGCAAGAAAGCCCTGAGTCTCATCCCTGTGTCTCTCATGAGACAGCCAAGCCTCCCATAAGGCCTAGTCCTACAAGAACCTCTTCCCCCACACCCACCTGGCTTAAGGAATTTCTGGAGTGCAAACTTAAACAGTGAGACTATTGATTACAGAATAAATCCATTCACCCCAGGACAGTCTCAAGGAACACTAGAAATCAGATTGGCTTCCCACTGGCACACCAACTGTTAAATCCTTGCTTCCTTAGTGACTGTCCAGTGGGAACCTTAATTTCTTTCTAAATGCCACATGTTTGATATGGCTCAATAAACATAATAATCCCTTGCAGACTTCAGTTTACTGCAGACCATGAGTGTTCACTTTTCTGTAAATCTTAACGTCCAATCACTGGTGTGGGCCTAAGCTAGCAGCCCCTATTGCTGGGCCCCTCGAAGACTGCGGCTTACTGTGAGTGCCATGTACTTTCTTGGAAGACCTCACACCAGGAGGCACTGCTGTTCCTAACAGTGAATTCCTCCTGCCCACATCATCCAGTCTGTACTCACCCGACCACTGCTCCTCTATGGCTCTAATCTGGTCATCTGTAAAGTTCCATGAACGGGCCAGCCTCTGCCACTCATTGGCCTTCAGCGGACGATAAGCCAGGTCCCAAAGGAGTGTGCGAATATATCTGGTCTCCAAACTATGATCTTGCTTGAATGTCAGAGTAAAGCCCGTTGATGGGTCCCTGATACTCTCGTGATGCTCCTAAAGTGAAAATAGTTGTATCAGAAGATTTCAGATGTGTTCTACTTACTACCTTATTTCACAGTGTATATGTTTTTCAAACATAACCAGTAAAGTGGTAACCGAGACTATGTTTTCGATGCCATCTGTCACTGGATCATGTTTTTGCCATCCAAAATGGAAACAAATGCTTGAAATCAAAAGTTTGGGTACCGTCTGTCTGACATAGGAAATGGGAGGGATTTTGCCTATTGTGTTCCATGCTGCTTAGAATACAGAATGAGAACAGAGAGGCTGTCTTGGGGAAGGATGTGTCACAACAACAAAACCATCACTATTGGACTTTGCTTGAATCCATCCATACCCCCTTTTCTTCTTTTGTTTATTTGATGTTCTCATATCAAAGCTTCAGTGGGCCCAGATTGGGTGTATCCCTTATAAGATCACATAGCTGGTCCCTCATTCATCCTGCTCTCTGGTAAGCATGAGGAGAGGAAACCAGGAGCCTAGCTCAGGGTGTGACTTGGGGAACAGGTGACCAAGGGGGTGGAGAGGACAGGAGTGGATATCATTTAAAGTCACTGCAGCCAGGTTCAGCCCAACAGCACTATGCCTAGATTGGCGTCTTGTTTTCTGTCTGTGTAAAGGTTCCTTTTGTCTCTTCCGCAGAATCCACCAGAGACCTACAGAATCAAACCAAAAACACTGGAGAAAAATTCCTGAGTGAAAGCAGGAGCACCTCTTCCCAGAACTGCCTCTTGTGCTGACACCTCTTGGGCTCCAGGTAATCCTCCTGCAGAAAGCTGCAAATCAGTTAAGGACATCCAGGACACGTGGCCCACCAAGAAGTCTGGGACTTCCTGTTTACCTCTCCTTTTTCGTGTATAGCGACTCTGTTTTTGTCTTTCACTTAAATAAAGGTGTATCTTAATGAAAATATTCTTCACAACAAGATGGGAGTCAAGGCTGGGGCAGGAAATGGATCAAAATGGTATGGGACCCTGGGTTTCAAAACTAATGAGAAGAACTTGATGGGACAGGCTCATCCCCACCAGGGATCAGCCTGCACCCCTCACGGCACCAGCAATCTCCTCCAGAAAGCTTGACAGGGGAAGCGTAATAAGCTCCTCCTGGGAAGCTTGGCCAAGAAGGGCAAAACCATCCTCTAGTATCTGAACTTTGTGCACAGAAGTTGGAAGAGGAATGGGAGGTGTGAATTACCCACAATCGTTTCAGAGACTGTAAAAGGCAGGGTCTTCTCCAACCCAGCCTCAGCTTTACTTCCACAGTGCCTAGCTCCCAGGAATTCAAAGGAAGTGAGGTTGAGGATGGGGAGATCTAACAAACTTGGGTGCTGTGGGCCACTTCTCTTTGTCCTTTTCTCCTCATTCCATCTCCTGAAACAATGATGAATCCAGCAAGATCCAAAGCCTAAACGTCACAGGGGAAAGGGAAGAACACAAAATGCTTCTGCATTTATCTTTGTGCGGTAACAGTTTTAGTTCTTCAAGAAACTTACATGGTTTTGCATTTCGGGATTGGGCTGGGTGGTCCCTCAGGCTTCCATCGAAAAGGGCAGGAGACTTGGAAAGCCTAGGTCTTTTTCAGCAGTCAGTGAAAGCATTAAATAGCTTGCCTGCCAAAGCACTGAACCATTTGCAGGAATAACATGAGCCAGAACTGGTGGAAATTAAAATAACATAAGCCAGATTTTAGGAAGCTCCCATTTGCCTCTGAACCACTGAATTTAATGATGGATGATTGGGTGGTTATGTTAATGGATAAATGGATATAAGAGAGGAAATTTAAATCATCTCTTTAATCCTTTTACTAGGAACCATTTATATTAGGCAGGATATAAACTTGTTCAATGAACAAAGAGAATTTAAAATAATAAATGCATTTGGTTAAAAAATAATTGAAAAATGTATCTTAAAAGACAAATATTTCTCCAACTCCAGACCCCAGGACCCCAGCTGTCACCAGAGTAAACAACTCTTACCATTTCTGGGGGGTCTCCTTTAGCTATATTTATGTATTATATATGGTTTTCAAAGTTTACCTAACTCTTATGTCTTAAAGATTCATTAGGAAAGAGGGTGTATTCATTTGGTGGGAAAATAATTTATTCTCATCTACCCAAAAGAATTTTTTTAAAGCTTCCAGGAATTAAAAATAGAACCAATGAATATTTCTATTTCCAAAGAAAATGTGAAAGCAAGTTAAAGAGAAAGAGAAAAGATGGCACTTGGTAAAGTTGTCTTCAATTAAAAAAATGATAATTTAAGAAAATAAGTCTGAGGATAGGAAAAGAGGAGGAGGAAAAGGGAGGAGATGAAAGAACATAGAAAGATGAGGAATGGGAGAGAAGAAAGAGAATTCCAATTGTTAACATTTTTTTAAAAAGTTTTACAAGCAAAGCACTTTTATTTTTGGTTTTACAGGCAAGAAAAGTTGCAAGAAGGATGGTGTGACCTTTAAAAGAATCCATATAGATCAAGACTAGAAAGCTAATTAAACAGAATTGTGAGAGAGAAGGAGATGAGTAAATGCTTTTTGATTTAAGGATTTAAGGGAAATTTCCCAGGATTGGCCAGGTGGACAGCAATCCAGCTTCACAGAAACTCAGGGTGAGCCCCACATGATCAGGACCTGAATTCCGGAGCTAACACATTGGGCCGGGGAACGCCATGCAGCCTAGAACGGAAACAACACGTCACTATAAGTCAAGAATGGTGTCTGGCAGTGCCATTCTTGCCTGAGGGCATAGACGTGAATCTTGCAGGGGAGGGCAGTCTATTGAGAAGCTGCAAGGGTAGCAGATATCAGAGGAAATAAAAATGAAAGAATACCAAAAAGAATGACTTACAGACAATGGTTTTTTTGTGTGTTCTCAAGTGAGTAAGGTTTTCATGACTCTCACAGAATACTTAAGTGCTGGAAAGCCAGCACAGAGGTGTGTTGAAAACTGCCAAGCCACAGAAAGGAGTTTTTCTTAATCATTCATTAGTGCTCCCGGGAATAGCTCATGGCCAGACTGTGGACAGAGGGCACAACCAGGGCGTCACCCATCAGGGGTTCACATGCCAGGTCCATTAGAGCTGGCATGGACAACGCCGCTTGACCCAAGCAAACTCTACGCACTCTCAGTTCTGACATCTGATGTCGGCAAAGGAAGAGGCAGCTACTCATTCCATGAATGGGGGCAGCACAAAACAGAAGGCACAGTTTTAACTGTACTGACCAGGGCTCTGCTCATTAGAGCAAAGTATGATGCAGCCCCCACATTGCCCCTCAAGAAGATGGGTGCTGCCAGGAGAGCCTCCACTGTGCTGGGCTCGTCCTTCCTTACCTCTCTCCAGGCGTAGTATCTCTCTGCTTTAATGAGCATGTCCACCACGAGGCTATGGTTGTCCTGGAGGCCACAGCCAGGGCAGTCTTTCCTTGCTAAAATATAAAAAAGGAAAAAAGAAAAAAAAAATCAGGCAGTATGGCCCAGTGATTAGGAGCTCTGGTTTTGGAACATGGGGAACTGGGTTCAAATCTTGATTCTACCACCCCATGCTGTGTTAACTTAGGCCAGTCCTTTTCTCTTTGGGTCTTTATAACTACCGCATAGTGGAGTGGTCAGGGGTAAACGTGATCACACATATAAAGCCTTTAGAACATATGCTAATAACCCTGAATATTTCCTAGCCTCTTCTGCAGTTAGGTATGTGACCTAAGTTCTGGCCAATGGTCTGTAAATAGAAGTGGGACATGCAACTTCTGGGAAGTATCTTTAAACAGAAGAGGGATGAATGGTATTTTCCTTCCTTTCTTCTTCCTCCTGAGTGGAATGCTGACATGATGGCAGGAGCCTGAACAGCCACTTTAGACCAGGAGGTAGAAGCTATGTTTTGAGGAGCATTGAGTAATAAGACAGAAAAGGGCTGGATTTTATTACAAATAAAATATCAGTAATGGCAACACTGGTCATTCATAGCTCACTGGACCCCCATCTAGAATGTTTTTCCATTATACCATACTGCCTCCAACCAAGGGTGAGAGGTTTGAATCTTAACCAAATGGAATGATCATCAAGGGCTGTTCTGGACATAATTTTGGGAATGCTCTGCCTGGAGCCTGCATGGTATCTTAGACAAATTACAAAAAGATACACTTTTCTCAAGGTGGACAGAGCTTAAAGCCAGGGCACACAGCTTTGTAAGCAGAATCCCCTGGAGTTCATACAGTGTACAACTTCTACATCTAAACATTTTTCCCTGAGCAAAGGATGGTGGTTCTCATTTGCTTTTCAAGTGACCCATGAAGAATTTGCTCGGAAAACAATTAAAATTAATGGTCAGAAATGACCCAGGAAGAAGTTCCAATCTTAGGAACCTGTGTTTCTACCCTTATGGATCCAGAAATACATCCCAAGTATTATCTTACATGGTTAGATATTTGCAACAAGTGCAAATCCCACCAATGTAAATGATTTGGTTCTTAGTCTAGGTGCTAAGACCCAGGCCAGCAGAAAAATTAGGGCTGAAAGTAATCAGCCTCTAATCAAAAGAGACACTAATGAAATTAGAAAGAACTGCATTTTGCAGGCATTTAGCAAGCCTCTAATTGCATGCTGTCTACATTCTGGCTTGTAAAGCCATTTGAATCACTATAATTAGCCTGCTTTGAGAAGGCAGCATTCTGAGAGCCGGAGTTTTCAAATTCATAGGAAAATCTTCCTAGGGAATATACGCTGGAGTAAAAATCCAAACACTTCTGCCCTTAGGGGTTGGGAGGTAGCGGGGATAGAAGGTCCTCTGAGAGCTCTGCAACACCTCAGGCCAAAAGGACCAGCAGAGAACAAGCTGCTGGGAGAGTCAAATTTACACCAAATTTTGGCTCCTTATTTCCTAAGCAGACCCTAACGTGGTCCTAGAAACACTTTTCTTTGACAACAAAACTTGTGGGAGCCAATAGAAAAGATACTTTTTAGTCATTAATTAACTATGTATTGGGTTCCAATTATGTGCCAGACCCTGAAAAGAAAGGAGAAGGGAAATCTGGGGAAATCAAATTATGAGGCCCCACGAACTGTGAGCTCTTGTTTTGAAAACAAAGTCAACTGGTAGCATTGACTGTGTTCACTGGAATATCTACTCCACTGAGCACCAGGGGCCCCACATCAATCCCTGCCTAATGCTGTAGATTTTCTACCCACAGAATGGTCTTCAGGGTATTAAGTGTTCATGAAAAACTAGAACAAATTACAAAAAGATGACATTAGAAAATACCAATGGTAAATGTTAAACCAAGTTAACCAGGCAGTGAAAGGGGTGGAATGCTACAGAAGGGATAAAATATGGGTGGCTGTGTGTTCCTTCCTTACGCCTTTCTGTGTGTTCTAAATTGTCCACAGTGGGCCTGTGTTACTTTTATGATAAGAAAAAGAAAAGTTAATTTTAGAAACTGACACACAGAGAAAAGGAAAATAACATATAAATACTTTAGATTCTACGCATGTAAAATGGATGATTCTGAACTAGAGTAGGGTGGACTCAGGCTTCCACTGTCAATTAGAGAGGTGCTAGCTATTGAACTATGTGGCTAAAAATAAGAAAGGGAAAACTGCAAGTTTCGGAAGTAGTCATCTTTGCTGACAATTGTAGCAAAGCACCAGATGACAGAGCAGCCACTACTTGGCTTTGAAGCCAGCTCTGCCTCTTACTATGTGTATGACCCAACATCCATCGATGGATGAATGAACAAACAAAATGTGGCATAGACATACAATGAAATGTTATTCAGCCTTAAGAAGAAATGAAATTCTGACACATGCTACAACATAGATAAACCTTGAAGACGTTACGCTAAGTGAACTAAGCCAGTCACAAAAAGGCAAATACCATGTGATTCCACTTATATGAGATACTTAAGAGTGGCCAAATTCACAGAAACAGAAAGTAGACTTTCTGTTTCCCAGGGACTGGCAGAAGGAAGAAATGGGGAGTTATTGAACAAGTATAAAGTTTCACTTTTGCAAGATGAAAATGTTTTGGAGACTGATTCCATAACAATGTGAACATACTTAATCATACTGAACTTAAAAATGGGTAAGACGGTGCATTTTATATATCTGGACTTTACCACAATTTTTTTAATTTAAAAAAAACAAGTTTAGACGTATGTAAAGACATTCATTGCAGCTCTGTTTGTAAGAAAGAGCAAAACTTTAGGAACAACTTAAATGTCCATAAATTGAGGAGTAGTTGAACAAATTGTGATATGTCTGTGCTATGCTATACTATGCAGCTGTAAAAAAAGAAGAAGAAACTCTCCATGTACTAATATGCAAAGATCTCCACTTAATAATGCTAAAAATGCTAAATGCAGAACAGTATGCTCGTTATGGGTATGCCATTGGTGTCTAAAAAGGATGGAGGAAGGCAGTAAGAGTATAATGTGTTTATGGTTGCTGGCATATGCATATAAAACTCTGGAAGGAACAGAAATAATTTATAGTAATGGATACATATGGCAAGGTAGTATGGTAACCAGACAAGTAGGAATGGGGTGGGTGGGAATTTTTTACTGCTAAACCCTTGCTAGTTATATTCTTTTATTTTTGGACCATATGAATCTATAATTTTTTTTTTTTTTTTTTGAGACGGAGTTTGCTCGTTACCCAGGCTGGAGTGCAATGGCGCGATCTCGGCTCACTGCAATCTCTGCCTTCCGGGTTCAGAAATTCTCCCACCTCAGCCCCCCAAGTAGCTGGGATTGCAGGCATGCGCCACCACACCCAGCTAATTTTTTGTATTTTAAGTAGAGATGGGGTTTCTCCACGTTGGTCAGGCTGATCTCGAACTCCTGACCTCAGGTGATTCACCTGCCTCAGCCTCCCAAAATCCTGAGATTATAGGCGTGAGCCACTCACTGCGCCTGGCAGAATCTATAATCTTTTCAAAAATTTAATGAAGAATTTGAATTTTAAAACCACATAATTGTTATTCAAAGTAAAAATTCTTACTGACATAGCTCAATCAAAACTGGGATATTTTACTGACTATGAAGATACACGGTTTCTCCAGTTTGTGCCCATTTCACAGAGGATATTCCAATGTCGCTGCTCAAGGCTGACAGCCAACAGGAAGGTCTCAGCAACCATCTCAGCTGAATGAAGTCCATTCACTTACCTTGTCAACAGCCTTCAAGTCACAGCCTGCCTTCAGCAGGGTTTCTACCAGTTCCACATTTCCTGGATCAGCAGCTACATGCAGAGGGGTTTGCTGCCTCTGCCATGAAATTAAGGAGGGGAACCAATTTGGATGGTGAAAAGACAAAGGGAAAGTAGAGCCATCCTATTTAGGCTCAAAGGAAAACAGAGGTCGTATGTTTTTAAATGGATATGGGGGCAGTCATGGCAGTATTATTTGCAATAGTGAAAAACGGAAAGGAAATTACATGTTTAACATGGAGACTCATTAGATAAATTATGATACATCTACATATTAGAATAATAGGCAACCATGAAAAATTATTTTTAAAAAATGATTTCACTACTAGGTACCTGAAGTAGTCAAATGTATAGAGACAGAAAGTTAAATGGTGGTTACCAGGAGCTGGAGGAGGAGGAAATGGGAAATTGCTGTTTAATATGGAATTTCAGTTTGGGAAGATGGAAAATGTTCTGTAGATGGATGGTGGTGATGTTATACCGCAATGAATGTAATTAATGCCACTGAACTGGACACTTAAGATGGTTAAAGTGATAGATTTTGTTATGTGTACTTTACTACAATAAAAATAATTTCAAAGATTTTTTTTGAAAATAAAAAAATGCTTTTGATATAATGTTTGAAACTTTAGGAAATAATACTATCTACTTGAGCTTGATTTAATTAAAATACATATAGAGAAAGAAAATACAGTACATAAAAATGTTAATGCTAAGGTCTAGATGAATGGATTAGAGTTTATTTTTATTGCTTTCTTAATGCATTTCTCTGTTCTCTAAATTTTCTACGTTATAATGTGTAAAGGAGTACAAGCCTTCTAATTTCCTTCTGGAGTAATCATTTTCCTATCAAGAGGATAAGAGTTTCCAAAGAAATATCTGAAATCACAGGAAAATCACCTATCTTAACCTCTCACCAAAAGGAATGCAGGTGTGAAGACATTTCTAAAATATTAGGGCAGAGAGGAGCCTTAGATGTGATCTAGTCCAACTCCTGAGCCAAAAAAGGGAAGCGGCTACCCCAGGGTCACAGAGGTGGGCAATGGCATGTGGACCACTACTCTTCCCACCAGAGCACAGGGCCAACATGCTGGAGATGCCACCAAAAGGGATTGATTTATTTATTTGTTTTCTTAGAGACAGTTTCTTACTCTGTCACTCAGACTGGAGTGCAGGAGCGTGATAATAGGTCACTGTAACCTCAAACCCCTGGGCTCAAGCAATCCTCCCTTCTCGGTTTACTGAGGAGCTGAGACTACAGGCTCTGCTAATTTTTCTTTTNATTTGCATTTGCCTGATAGATAATGATAGTGAGTATATTTTCTTTTTATTTATTTATTTTTAAGTTTTTGTAGAAATGAAGTCTCACTATATTGCCCAGGCTGGTTTCAAACTCCTGGCCTCAGGTGATCCTCCTATCTTGGCCTCACAAAATGTTGAGATTACAGGCATGACCCAACACACCTGGCCTCCAAAAAGCATTTCCTAAAGGCTCACCTTCAAATGGCAGTGTGTCTAGGTGTTTGTCATTCAAGACGTTCCACTTATACTGACCAACCTATCAAAGATCGTACTGTACCGCCATGGAACAAAAGCGGAAATGGAATCTATCAAGTCCAACGAAACCCATTTTAACAACACTGCTACAAGTCTAGAAGGCAGGAAATGCACTAAAACATTAACAGGAGTTATCTTTCTTTGCTGGGGACTTCAAACACCTTCAGTGTTTTTAGCTTACATATTTTTAAATTTTACATACATATGTTATATTTAAAATATAAATGTTCCTATTTTATGTGTGTATTATTGGTCTAATAAAAAAATTGAAGTGATAAAGTCTGGTTCTGTAAAAGGATAAAAACCCTAATAAACGCTCCTTCCCTAGTGTTATTTACTGGCATCTAGCCAGTTCTGTCAAAACCAGTATCACATGAGAGCACAAGGCTCTGTTTCTTTAGCAAAGATTTTGCCCATTGGGAAAGATTTTAGATATTAATATAGTTGAATACATAAGTATATTTAATAACAAGAGGAGATTTTTTTTTTCCCAAAAAAACTTTTGGGATAGGTAAAGGCAGGGGAGGAGGCTAGGTTCCCTGGAGAAGGGAAGGGACAGAAGTCCAGGTAAATCTTCATTCAGCTCAGAGCAAAACTTAGCGCATAGGTGGGAACTGGAGGAGACTGCAGAGGTAGGAGTCAATGCTCTGGTTTCACAGTGCATTAGGAGGACATGCAGGCATGCCCACTGCACCGTGGCTCCTCCCTAAGCCGGAGGGGCACGGCAGAGGCTTCTCTGGGGAGAGGCAGCCAGGAGAACTCATCCGGCCTCAGGACCCCAGAAAGGCTCCTCTTCTCACTCCCCTACATCTCCTGGAAGAAGGCAGGCCAGCCCCAGAAGAGCCCCAGAGAGCAGGCTCATCCAGTGTCCACCCCCATTCTCTTCGTGATTCCACTGTGGCTTTCCCGCTTCCAGCCAGTGATGGATTGCTTTAATGAGTCATTTGACTCTGCTCCAGTTGACTGAACTTGTGGTGATTTTTCTTTTAATCCAAGAGGTCTCTTTTGCCTTTAGGCAAAGAGAAGACACATTTACTGTCTTTAATATAGAAACAAAGCTTCCTTCTTGCGGGGGAAAGGCTCCCTGCCAAGTACCATATTTCACTCTGGAGGAGTGGTTTTTTGATTTAAAGAGCCTCCGGCCATTTAGCTCTGAGCTACTGTTTTTCTATCAAAAGTGCTGGGCCTGTTAAAAATGAAGGATTTAATCATGCACTGGCTGAACTCCAGTTGTGTGGCTGAGAAAGACAAAAGTATGGCATGGGGATGCAGTGGGACTTACAGAAGGAGAAGGAGAAGGATAAAAAGGATGCACATATTCCTCCCAGGAATTTTTAGGTACCTTGAACTTGATCAGAACTCCCCATAAACACACACTGTGTTGAAACATAAGAAAATAGACCCTCCCTGCTCTGATTTGCCTGGCTTACCTGATTTAAGATGTCAATATCTTGCTGTGCACTTAATAAGCTCTTTACAACCATGATGTGGTTGTTGATAACAGCTAAATGAAGAGGCGACTCCTTAGGCTGCAAGAGATAAACAAAAATGTCAAATCCAAAAGGTTCTGGCTTTATTACTCAAATCAAAAACCAACTCATTTCAGCAGCTATTTCCTGATGATCTCCCAAGTACTGAAACTGCCCATCCCAGTGGCGACCCCCTGTAAGTGTTCAGCATTTATTGTCATCCCAAGGCTCTGAAGCAAACTTGCTCCCCAGCAAATGGCTCACCCGCTTTGTTCTTTCTGGAGCTACATACTAAGGACCTACTATGGGCCAAGCTCTTTTCAGGTTGCCAGGGATTTCGTGTGAACAAAGCTCATTCTCAGGAATCTTCCAATCTAGTGGGGTAACGAAATATTGATTTTTTTAAGTCATATAAATACAGAATACAATTAAGTGGTTTGGAGGTAGAAGAGCCAGTGTGGGGTAGGGGGAAGACTGACCTTTCAGAAGGTCAGAAAAGACTTTTCTGAAGAACTGACATTTAAGCTCAGATATGAAGGATAAATAAGTGTTAAGTAGGCCGAACCACAGGACTTCTCAGAGCCTTCAAAGAGCTAAAGGGCAATGAGAGTAGCCACAAGGGTAAAATCATTGCACATTTGGAATTTCCTGCATTGATCTGCTCTGGAGCCCTGACTCCTTAGCGTGTCCCCCTTGCTCAGGGGCACCATCCTCATGCTCAGCCCTCCCTGCATAGAGTCCAGCCACAGGGTGTTCACCAAGCCCTCTGCAGCCTGCTCTTCTGTTCTCTTCCTTTGTGGCTAAACCACCTGTCTTCCCAGCCACAGCTCTTCATGGAGCCCCCGGCCCCTCTCACTCACTCATCCCCACCACTGGCTTCTTCCCCGGCCCTTTTTCTCTAGGCTCCCCTGCTGCTGCAATCCCACCCAGCTGCCACTGGCCTGTGGAGACAAGACACGCCTGCCTCCGGTAGAGACTGCAGCTGAGGGGGGGGAAGGGAGGGAAGAAGCAATGAAGGGAAGTGAGGACAAAAGCAATTAAGGCATGAGAGAGAAGGAGGCATCATCCAGCATGATGACGAGGGAGGGAGGGGGGTGCCAGGGGAAGGTGGGAAGGGGTGTGATGGCAAGGGCTGAAGAGCCAGCGACACTGTGCAGATCAGGAGCCGAGCTGAGTGTGGAGTGAGTGGAGAGAGGGAACGGGTACCTGCAAGGGTGAGTGATTAGGACGAGGGCAGTGTTGCTCAAGTGGAACAGCTGATATTAATGATACGCATCAGACACACTCAGCACATTCTCATTGTGGTGCTTGCTACACATTCATTTCCCCAACAGTTTATCTTTTTTCAGAGATGGGGTCTCACTCTGTTGCCCAGGCTGGAGGGCAGTGGAGCCATCGTAGTTCACTGTAACCTGAAACTCCTGGGTTCAAGCGAACCTCCCACCTCAGCCTCCCAAGCAGCCGGGACTACAGGCGTGCACCACTGTGCCTGGATAATTTTTAAATTTTTGGAGAGATGGGGTCTTGCCATGTTGCCCAGGCTGCTCTAACAGTTTATACTCTGTTTTAAACACCAGCCTCACAGTTTTTCAGAAACCATGTTAATAACCCTAGAAGTTTGATCTCATATTCCCCATTTCATACATGAGACACAAGGAGGTTCAGTAACTTCCACAAGGCCAGGCAGCAAGGAAGTGGCAGACACAGGACTCGAACCCCGGCCCTTCTGACTCTACCATCTGTACCAGGCTCCATCTCAGGAGATGGGGGTAGGTGGATGGAAGAGAGACCATAGTGAGATGGCAAGAATGTCACCAGCTGATGGAGGGAGGGGAGACGAGGGGACAGATAGAAGAAGACCACAGCTGAGTAAGTCAGAGACTGTCAGAGGCCAACAAAGATCAAAGCAGACAGAGGGTGTGAGCAGGGCCGTGAAGGCGGCATGAAGGGGAGAATTTCTGTATAGGTCCCTCCTGCCCGGGAATAACCTCCTTGAGGCACTAAGCATGAAAACCGAGAAAACATCCACATTGCAAAGAAGTGGGCATTGTCCTTGCTGGGGCCACCCGCCTTGCAGTGGCCCAGCTCCTCCTGGGAAACAGGAAGTGTCCTTGGACTGAACCAGGTAAGTTCAGAGCCAATTCCCCCAACACCATGCTCCGAAAACTATCAGACATGGTTTCAATCACATCCCTCCTCCCGAGTTAATACAATAAATAGTAATGGCTCAGCAAGATCAGAGGAAATCATATTCTCAATGGAGAAATGAAAATACAGTGGAAAAATAGAAGCATGTTTCTTGTTTAATTCCAACACAGAGGGCCTTTTGTTAATTCTGCCAAAGCCAATTCAACCATCAGAAAACCTGAATCAGTATAAAGAATTGACTTTCAAAAGAAAAGGAAGATTATTCAGTGAAGGGAGAAAAATTATCACTCTTCTTGATATGTATAGCTGCTTCATTATTTTCCCAGACTGATAAAATTAATACAAGTGTAATGGCATCTCTAGACATATGAGAAAGCTTTATTGCAGCAAATACAAATATTTAAAACACAAAGATTTCATTTTGTTCAGGAACTTCAATGACTTTCTAAAATTCATCCCTCGGATTTTATTTCTCAAGATTAAGACTCTGCCTCCAAAATAAGTCAGCCAGCATTCCCAGAAAGAATTTCTCCCTTGTGAAACATCTCATCTCCTACATGTATCTGCAAGGGGCATCTCCCTGGCACAGCCAACCTCGTGGTGCCAGGACCAAACCCTGTGTCATTAAAATAAACTCACTTCCTCTTTCGGGTGCAGATCAACATTCTCACGGAGAAGAAAGTTAACAAGGGATGCATGGCCATTCCTGGTCGCTATCTGCAAACTACTGATATTGAGCTGCAAGAGACAATGGAGAGGGCAGGGAGGAACTCCCATTATAATTCAGCATGCTTTCTGGGGTTTATCACACAGTAATCAGTTAATACAATGAAATAGTACAACTACAGTCATGCATCACATAACAGTGATTTGGTCAATGACAGACCCGCCGTGGTCCCATAAGATTACAATGGAGCTGAAAAATTCCTATGGCACAAATACTTAACCATTGTGTTACTATGCTGCACAGGAGCAACAGCTATACCATAGGAGCCTAGGAGTAATGGTAGGCTGTACCATCTAGATTTGTGTAAGTACACTCTACTAGGTTTACACAACAAAATCAGGCATTCCTCATAACATTTCCCTGTCATTCAGAGATGCATGGCTGTATTTAAAAAAGAAAATCTGGCTGGGCACAGTGGCTCATGGCCGTATTTCTAGCACTTTGGAAGGCCAAGGTAGGTAGATCCCTTGAGCCCAGGAGTTTGAGATTAGCGCTGGCAACATGGCGAAACCCTGTCTCTACAAAAATTAGCTGGACTTGGTGGTGTGCGCCTGTGGTTCCAGGTACTCAGGAGGCTGAGACTGAGGTGGGAGGATGGTTTCAGCCTGCGAGGCAAAGATTGTAGTGAGCAGAGATCATGCCACTGCACTCCAGCCTGAGCAATAGAGTGAAACCCAGTCTTGAAATAAACAGAAAATCCATTGTGTTTTCAATTATTGGGGTGGGGGGAGCTATTAATAGGTTGGTGCAAAAGCAATTGTGGTTTTTACCTAATTGGTTTTTTCTAAGTATCTCCCATGAAAGTGTCAGAGCCCTAGGGAACATATGTGCAACAGACGGAATGTTTGCGTACCTCCCACAATTCGTATGTTGAAACTCTAATCGCAGTGTGAGGATGATAGGCGGTGGGGCCTTTCAGAGGTCCAATTACCTAATGTTGTTGACCAATTAATTGTAAGATTGCTACAAAGTATTTTCAGGTCTTTCAAATAAGGATGCTGCTGGAAACTGTTTTCCCAAAATGGCTGCCTCAGTGTCTCCCGTCCCAAAGGCTCTTCTGCAGTATGACCTTGCCACTCCCCTCATTAAGAGGTGGGGCTTATTTCTTCACTCCTTTGAATCTAGGTGAACCCTGGGTGGAGCCCTCGTGACTGAGATTCATGCCCTTGCAAAAAGAGGCCAGAGAGCTGGCTAGTTCTCTTTGTGCCATGTGAGGCTACGAGAAGAAGACAGCTGTCTGTAAACCAGGAAGAGGGCCTCATCAGAACCTGATCTTATAGCACGCTGATCTCAGACTTCCAACCTCCAGAACTCTGAGAAATAAGTGTTTGTTAAGTCACCCAGTTTTAAGGTATTTTTAATAGCAGCCTGAGCTGACTAGGATACTATGCCTAGGGCAAATGTGAGTTAAATCCTCATTTCCCTTCTCCCAGGAGGTGTGAAGTGGGCTAGAACCAAGTCTTCTCTCTGCGCACCTTAGCAAAACCCCTCTTTGAACCAAAATAGGTGACTTAGTATTGGCGCCAGGAAAGGCCTCAGTTTCCTGCAGCCCTGTCTGCTTACTGCCAGTGTCCCCTGTGCTAGGCAGACATTCAACGCTCAGCATAATTTCTATGTGCAGCATTCCCCCTTCATCTTCTTATTCAGCCCCTTCACTATGTGAAGACACCTTGTAGCTGGATGGCACACTGCTGGAGGGGATGGTTGGCTCTGGGCGCTCCTGCCATACTCCAAATGGCCCAGCATGGTGCCTTAAAAAGTACAAGGTCAATGAATTGGTTGTTGACTGATTAACTGTAAGATTGCTATGAAGTATTTTTACATCTTCCAAATAAGGATGCTGTTGGAAACTGTTTTCCCAAAATGCTGCATCTCCTGTCCCACAAGCTTGTCTCCAATATGATCTTGCCACTCCCCTCATCAGAGGTGGGGTTTTCCACCTCATTGAATCTGGGTTGACCCTGTAACTGCTTTGACCAATAGAATATGGCAGAAGTTCCAGTTCCAGGCGAGGCCCCTAACTAGCCTGCAGCTGCTGCTGTCTACCTTTTGTCATGCCTGCTCTTGTAATCCTTCCTCTTAGAGGACAGTTTCCAGGCTGTAGGCTGAGGCACATGGCGAGGCCTAGGTGAGCTCCCAGCTGACAGCCAGCATTAACTGTCAGGCATGAGTGCACTCTCTTGGATATCTAGCTCAGGTAAGCCTTCAAAATCCTGGTCAACTTCCAACTGTAATCACATAAGAAACTCAAAATAAGAATCCTCTCAACTGAGCCCAGTCAACCCACAGAGCCATGAAAATAATAATACACTGTTATTTAAAGCCCCTGGACTTTGGGTTGGATTGTTATGAACCAATAGATAATGGAATAGTGCCAACAGAAATGACCTATCTCTGACCAACTGAAATCTAGCTCGCATGATGCTAAATGCCTATATGACCTTGGATAAGTGGCCTATCAACTACGGACCTCTTTATCTTCATCTGTAAAAATGGCATAACCCCCTATATTAGTTTTCTATTGCTGTTATAAAACATTGCCGCAAAATTAGTGGCTTAATAAAAATGTATTATTTTATAGTTTGGGAGGTCAGAAGTCTGAAATGGATCCCACTGGGCAACTAAAAAAAAAATGTTCACAGGCCTGTGTTTTCTTTCTGGAGGCTCCACATCCTTGTCTCTTCTAGGTTTTAGAAGCCTCCTATGTTCTTTGGCTCATATCCTCTTGCTCCATTTTCAAAACCAGCAACAGTTAGCTGAGTCCTTCTCACACTGCATCAGTGACATCCTCGTCTGCCTCCCTCTTCCATGTTAAAGAATCCTCAAGATTACATTGGGTCCAACTAGTAATCCCAGAGAATCTCATTTTAAGATCAGCCAATTAGCAACCTTAATTCCATCTGCAATTTAAATTCTCCTTTGCTATGTAACATAACATATTCACGGGTTCCAGGAATTGGGATCTGAACTTCTCTGGAGGTGGGGAGCCTGATTCTACCTACCACATCATCCTACCTCTTTCTCTGAAATCACAGTACTACTGGGAGGATATATGAGCCACTAAATGTGTATGGTAACCATAACTATTATTTTATCCATTCCACACACACACACAAAATACTGAGCACCTATTTTGTGCCAGGCACTATGATAGTGAAGAGATATGCTGGTAAACAAAACTGACAAGATATCTGACATTACATTTCAGTGGTGGCAGACAATCGATCGATCCATAGATTGGTAGACTGGTAGATCAGTAAATCAGTGGGCTTAAATTAAATCTGCTTGTTAGATTCTAGATGTTGTTAGAAGAATAACATTATCTAGTTGTAAGTTCTACAAGACATAAAAGACATTTGGCTACTTTCTCATGGCTGATCAACAGAGCCTTGTTGGATAAGGTGACATTTAAACTGAGATCAGAATGGTCAGAAGTGCTCTTACTGGGACGATCAGAAGCCACCTAAAGCAGAAACAAATTTACGAGAAACTCAAAGCAGGAATCCTGCAGGGCGAAGAGCCACGGGAGTCCGCAGCATTTACCTCTAAGCATCGCGGGCTCCATGTATGGGGCCTACAGACTTTTTATGAGCCAAAGAAATCGTTAAAATGTAAAAAAAGAAAAAAATTATTGACTCCACGATAGAAAGAAAACCACAAAATTGAAGTGAATAAATATTTAATTGACATTCATACTTCATTGATTGTTAAATGTAATATTCATAAAATATTCATCATATTTATAAACAATTTGTAGCTAGCATTTTTTCACCTCCCTCAAATTCCCAATTATGTACACAGAGTTCTAAGAAATCAGAGTCAATCATAAATTAGGTGAGTCTGTCATAGCCAAATAGTTGCAAAAAAGCAAAAACAAAAAAGCCTTTTGGAGTAATTAACAGCAAAAAAAAATGTAAAGAAGAATGGGAGCATTTAAATATGTATGACAAAATATGAGGTAGGACCTCCAGGAATATGAGTTCTTAGGATGTACAAAAGTCTTCATTGAACCCAGGGCAGTTAATAAGGCCCTAAAGAGAGCCTATTGCCCTAACCCTGGGCAGCACCTCCACCCAGCACAAATGGAGGAAGCCAGCTGTCAACTAAATTCATAATCTCCCTCCAACATCCTCCTTAGAAATGACTCGGCCCTTTACCCTCTCCCTTGCTGACGGGGAGGTGGGAGGGAGCATAAAAGCAATCTCCTGGACACCAAGGCTCATCAGTGTCAGCAGGTGAAGAATTTCCAAGAGCAAACACAGCAATCACCTACAAATGTGAAAGCAAAACAAAGTCCAACCCATCCTGGGATCATGTGTGTCCTTGCTGTCAGCCTTTTCTTCACACTGCTTTCCTCCCCAAGGTTTGCACTGGGGTGGACAGATCGGTGTGGATGGCATGTAGGGGGCTGAGGTTGTTGATAGACAAGTGTGCTGATGAACTTGGGAAAAACTCAAGAGATAAAAGCTAAGAAACAGATTCACAATAATTTCCAGGCTGCCTAGAGCAGCTGAGGCCACTGGCTGTAAGCACAGGGACAATATGGAGCCTGCAGTCTTAGTCGGATAGGGAGAACGAGTGCAATTGAAAACCATTACAAAGCAAAATACTTAAGGGCAAAATAATTAAGGACAAGAATGAGGCAGGATACAAAATAATGGAGTAAGCCTGACAGAGTCTTGCTAGCCTGGGAAGCCTTCCCAGGACCTTGAAGGGGAATACAGACTGGGGACAAGGAAGCACCTGTGCAGTGACTGACCAGCAGCACGGCTCTCCACATTCTGAATATTTCATGGCTCCCATGAATTCTTAACTTTGTGTTTATTTATTGCATCAATAACCTTGCAACTTCAGCGGGAATTAACTCACACTACTTTGATTTTCCTCTCTCACAATCCTTGTCCATGTATATATTAATCCAATATCATATTAATATTTACTATATTTTTTCAATTAGTGTTTTTCTATGATTAACATGTTCAATATCGCAATATATTTCCAGTATTTGTCACATAATTTTTAACAGCTACATAATTTTCCAAGAAGTAGATGCACCAAACTTTCTTTCCGTCTTCTCCTACCATTCATTCCACGTACATGTTGTATCTAATTATTGACCACTGGAGCTAACTTTATCATCTAATTGAATGCATGCAGCTAGCTTTTTCTGCCTTTTAAATTATTTCCTTAACATAATTTTCTGTATGTGAGTAAAAGGAAAGTGACAAATTGCTTTTCGAAAGATTATGCAAATGTACACTCCCACCAGCAGAATACAGGGTATCAAACGTGCCAGTTTTGGACTTTATTCTTGTTTGGGACTTTATTCTTGAGTGTTTAACTTTGCACTTGTTGAAAAGGAATTGTTTATACATTTGTACTTGTTGAAAAGGAATTGTTCTTTGTTTTTTGGTTTTTTTTAATTATTATTATTTTTTTTTTAAAGACGAGTTTTCACCATGTTGGTCAGCTGATCTTGAACTCCCGACCTCAGGTGATCCGCCCGCCTTGGCCTCCAAAGTGCTTGGATTACAGGCATGAGCCACCATGCCCGGCTGAAAAGGAATTGTTTTTACAGTGCGCCACCGTTTGTTTGGTGTTGGTGTATATATGTGTGTGCGTTTAATCACATTTTCCATGTGGATTCATGGTCAATTCCTGGAAGACTAAGTAAACTATTAAGGATGTGAGTTCTGGGAGTAAAATTGCAATGTGGGTTTGGAGTAAGACACTTCTGTATCATATATGCTTTGGTTCTATTCAAATTTTTTGTCATGAGTTTTTATTATAATTAATTAGAAAAACAGAAAAAGAAACTAAACCATCTAAAGACAAGGCCATTGCAGGGGTTCAAAGCTAAGGCACTGGTGACAGACATGAGTTTCAATCCTTACACTGCCATTGACTAGTTATTATGATCCTGAATGAGTTTCCTTAACTTTTCCAAATTCTATTTTTATTATCTAAAAAAAATGAAAATAATAACACAGTCTCAAAAGTTGCAGAGGCTCTCAGCACGATGACAAGAGTATTCCCTATTTAGAGGAAGGGACCATCCTTCCTTCTTCATTCTCCAGGCTGACCACTTGCGCTTTCACACAATAAACTTTTTTTTCAGCATCCTCTCTGTATAACCCATGTGTGCACTAGTTGCTACGAGAAAACAAGGTAGAACAGAGTGTCTGTTTCTAAGAATTGACAAGTACTTGCTCCCTTTGCTCCATTTTCAATTATTCCTTCCCCAAAAGAATAAAAAGAATGGCATTGCTTTTCAGGATGCAGTAACTGAGGAATATTGCAGGTAAATCATTAATTCTTACCAAAAACAAAGCATATTATAAATATTAATTCTAAAGTACCAGTGAGTGGATCAGTGTAGGACAAGAGTTTCCAAAGAGCATTTTGAGTCTCCCTCCCACAGCGTGAGTGAACATGAGCTGGAACACATACTTTATTTGGAATGTTGATGTCACTTCCTGCTGCCAGCAGCACTTTACTGCACTCCTCATGACCTCCTTCAACAGTCAGAAAGAATGGTGCTTCTCCACTCTAACAAAAAGAGAAATAAGTTAAATTTAATTGCCTCTTGTCATGGAACGAAATTACTTGACAAACAACATGCTTTTTCTTTGCCTTTTGTGCATTCCTCTTAATAATGGATAGCATTTATTGAACAACTATGTGTCAACTTGTACTGCCAAGACTATATGCTTCAGCGCAGTTAAATCACACAATGCTATAAGAGCAGGGTTAATATTATCCACATGTTACAGATAAGAAAACTAAACCTCAGCTGAAAAGTGTCAAAGTGGCTGGGCTCAGTGACTCAGTGACTCAGGCTGTAACCCCAGCACTTTTGGAGACTGAGGCAGTCATGATGGCAGATGCCTATAGTCCCAGCTACTCAGGAGGCTGAGGCGAGAGGATCACCTGAGCCCAGGAGGTTGTGGCTGCAGTGGGATAGGATTGCATCACTGCACTCCAGCCTAGGCAACAGAGTGAGACCCTGTCTCCAAAAAAAAGAAAAAGAATCTCAAAAATAAGGAATTATAGTGCAGTATGAAACACAAAATTAGAAGTACATTTGTACCAAGTATAGCTTTAATCTTTACAACTGATTAAATGTGACATGACATTTAAAAAAAAATCTCAGTACTTCAGTTTCCTGAAACTCAGGATAAATGTTAGAAGAACAAAGTAAAAGTTTAATACAGGCCAAAACATAGAAGAGAAAGAAGGAGCTGTTCCCACATAGTAGCTACTTGGCTATTTCCCTTTCCTCATGCAGACTCTTTCCTAAAAATATTGGGAAGAAATTTAGAATTCCTTCCGCATTCCCTAACAGTTTCCCTCCTTGGACATTATTCTGCTTAACAACTGCCTTAGGATAAATTCAGAAGGCTTTACTCACAGCTAATTAGGTATGAGTAATCATGTTAGCAGGAACACATGAGCACAGAAACCAGTGTTTCCATTCCAGCAAGGTGGGAAAATCATATTCCAGGCTGCTTTACCTGGGTGCCTGGAACAGCTATCTGCTTACAAAGGAATTTCTTCTCATAATCTTTCTTTTCATTTTTCTGGGAAAATAGATGCAAAAAGACAAATCCCAGCAGAGAACTATTTGTAAAAAATGTGTAAAGGAAATAATTGATGTCCTTAATATATCAAGAGCCTGATAAGGTTTCATATCTTGGATCCTACAATCTACCTCTAAGGATATACCCAAAGGCAATTGTGAGGAATTCAGACTACAGTATATACAGTATATCCTTGTATATATAATATACAAGGAGGTTTGTGGAAGCACTACCTGTGATAAACAAAAACAAACTAAATATCAAAGCGCTAAAGAATAGTAAATGAATTTGGGGCAGCTACAAAAATATATTGTACACGAATGTATAGGAACACAAAGGAAACTGGAAGTAAAATACATCAGATGTGTATAAGATCATCCTCTGAGCTGGGCATGGTGGCTCACACCTGTAATCTCAGTTGCATGGGAGGCTGAGATGGGAAGATCACTTGAGGCCAGGAGTTTGAGACCAGCCTAAGCAACATAATGAGACCCTATTTCTAATAATAATTATTATTTGAGTTTAGAGAAAATACAATACTGCTATTTATTTTTTATCTTGCATTTTTAAAATGTATATTTCTAGCATATGCTTTATAATGAATTAATTGAATTATAAATGTACATATGGTAGCTCAAACTTTCTTTACCAATATGAGTTTGCTACCAAGAATGCCTAGAGACCACTGCTCTAGAGCACATTCATATGGGTCTGGCAATATCTTGCATCAGGAAGCGGAGGAAGCCCCAAACATTGTAAATCATATCCAAAAAGATAATGTCATCGCTGTGCCCTTAATTTTGTGCAAATGAAACTATCATAATCTGAAATTAAAGTTTCTTGGGCTTTATGAGTTTTCCCCAATGTGCCTTGACTCCAAAATAGCTAAAAGGTAGATGAAATCCACATGCATACACACATTTCAGTGTTTGCTTTGAGACGGAGTCTCGCTCTGTCGCCCAGGCTGGAGAGCAATGGCGCGAAATCAGCTCACAGCAACCTCTGCCTCCCGAAATTGAAGCGATTCTCCTGCCTCAGCTTACCCAGTAGCTGGGACTACAGGCGTGCGCTACCACGCTCGGCCAATTTTCTGTATTTTTAGTAGAGACAGGGTTTCACCGTGTCAGCCAGAATTGTCTCTAACTCCTTTCTTCGTGATTCCCCTGCCTCGGCCTCCCAAAGTGCTGGGATTACAGGCGTGAGCCACCGCACCCAGCCTGCAGTGGTTTTAATACGTTTTAATAGAACAGGGAAAGCATAACTGAGACAATCAATCCGTGACTACAGGACTTGATCTCTGCTCTGGTTGGAATGTTCATGTCCCTTCAAAATTCATGTTGAAACTTAAATCCCCAATGCAATAAAATTAAGAGATGACCTTTATGAAGTGATTAGGTCATGAGGGCTAGCTCAGTCAACCAGGTGGATAGAATTGTCATTGTTTGAGCACATGCATTACATTGGAATGGGTATAAGTGGCTTAAAAGAAAATCTTAGAAACAATAGTGGGGCACTCTTTAAGAAATGCTGCATCTCTCATGCCACTGTACTCCAGCCTGGGTGACAAAGCAAGACTTTGATGCTGTAAGAAAAAAAAGAAAGAAAGAAAAAGAAAAAAAGAAAGAAATCATCAAGACTGATTAGGATAGTGATTTAGAAGAATCTAATTCAGCATGAAGTTTAGAAACAATTAACTGAGTTATCTTGCTAATTTTTTTCCTTTATACATGCATGTAAAAAACTAAAAGTCTAAAAACATCTTCAAATAGGCAGCATAAAATAAATATTTTAAGTGATAATAAAGTTTTTTGTCATAGTTAAATGGCAGCATGATTTTTTCTGAGTGTTACATAAAATAATAATGTGCCTTACAATCAATGGTATCTTAAGGTAAATGCTTATGATATTAGTTCTTTTGGTAGCTCTCAGGAGAGGCATCAAGTGTAGAAATTATCAGAACATTAAACTGTGAAATACAGGAGGACTCCACTGACCTGAGTTTCCAAAGAGCCAGACAAAAAATCACTGAACCATAGGTTAAGAAATGACCATCCAGGGGCAACTCACAAATCTGCCTACACAGCCACAGCCATATCCCCTCTCCCAAATCCAGAACCAGTGTCTTTTTTTTTTTTTTAATAGATGGAGTCTTGCTCTGTCATCCAGGCTGGAGTGCAATGGCGTGATCTCGGCTCACTGCAACCTCCGCCTCCCAGGTTCAAACGATCCTCTCACCTCAGCCTCCCGAATAGCTGGGACTATAGGCATCTGCCACCATGTCTAGCTAATTTTTTAAATTTTTTGTAGAGATGGGGCTTTTTGCCATGTTGGCCAGGCTGGTCTCAAACTCCTGACCTCAGGTGATCCGCACACCTCAGCCGCTGAAACTGTTGGGATTACAGGTGTAAGCCACCACGCCCGGCCCCAGAACCAGTTTCTAGCTGGCTAACACTCCACCTGACTGTACCCACCTCCCAGGCGCCTCAAACAAAATCCATTCAAGCCCTCATTACCTATACCACTCACCTACTCCTCCCCTGTACCCCCAGCAACAGCCCAAGCCAGAGAGCTGGGGGAAGAAAGTCCTTCCTCTCCCTAAGTCCTGGTGACAAGTCCTGAGGACTCTGCCTCCTCTTACAACTTCATCCTGTCTGTTGCTCATGAGTGTCTCAGTGAGAGGCCTTCCATAGGTCTTGTTTCCCCCATTTTGGCAGTCACCTGATTGGTCCTCCCCTGTTCTGGGCTCTCCTGGCACCCGTCTACCTTTCAAAAGGCTGTGACAGTTACCTGCCCACACCTAAGATGAATCTGATCCCTTTTCACTGCTTAAAACCCTTCAAGTTCTCTTCTGGCAAGCACATCAAAGCCAAACCCTCCCTCCCGCACAGCATGGCCTTTCATCGTCTGTCTGCCTTGGCCCACTAAGCTTCTGGCTTTCCCAGGCCTCCTAGCCTCAGTTTCTGCCACCTTGAACTTGTCAGTCCCAGAACGCACCATACTCTTGCCTTGGTTCTTTTACTTGGACCCTTCCCTCTGTCTGAAATACTTTATACTTGTGCCATCCTCAAAATCCCTCCTGCCAATGTTCATTGCAATGCCAAGACCCAGGTAATATATCACCTCTTCTGTGAAAACTGAAATTTCTGAAAAACATCTTCCTCTGTGTTCTCATGGCATTCTCTGTAGACCTCTATTATTGCATGTAGCCCAGTACTTTATTTGTTTTGCATGCCCTTCTTGCCCTGTGGGCTTCTAGAATAAGAATACATACTTCATCCGGCATACATAATTTTTTTTTAATGATTGGGTAAATAAATGAATGGCTTAACAAATGAAGTGCTGTGAGATACTTTGAAGAACAAAGTAAGGATCTTTCAGTATCACATTGTACACCCTATGGCACTAACACTTTTGTTTTCCTCCCATTCTTTTCTTGAAAGCCATTCCTCCAACCATTCCCCAGTTAAGTCCTGTGTCCATAGTGAGCATTTCCACATACCTCATTCATCTCATTTATGTCTTGCCACTGGGTTAGCAGCACCCGCACTGCAGGACTGTGACCACGCTTCGTAGCGAGGTGCAGGGCAGTGTTTCCCTCCTGCAACAGAGACACACTGGAGGTAGAATCCCCTGTGCCGGGAAAGCATGCTCCTTCAATAGCAAGGTTGCAGTGGAGTTTCTGGAAGCTTCCATTTTGGTTAAAGCTGCAGTCTAGAGTGTGGACCACAGTATCTGCTGTTTTAAGTGAAATTTATATATTTTTAAGTTTTAAATAAAAAGGCATAGCTTTTTGAACCAGTAGAAAAAAAGCCATCCATGCACCTTGTCATAACTTTGCCACCAATTGGTAGCAACATGTGGAGCAACAAAAGAAATTCCATTTAACCTATGTAAGGGTAAAATGGTGAAAAATTTCTGTGAGATCACTTTAGCAATATCATATATCAAAACTTTTTAAAAATGTGCAGAAGGCTTTGACCCACTATTCTACATCTAGGACTTTCTCCTAAGAAAGTCATCAAAGATGTATATATAAATATAGACATCTACCCCGGGATTTTTTCCTCCCCTTTCATATAGGGCTGAGCCTCCAGGACACCTCATGGGAGGAGAGGAGAGGAGTGGAGTTGATCATGGAAAAATCCATGTAGTCTATTGACTTCACAAACATTAATGAAGCAAAAAATACCAATCTTGACAACCCACAGAAATGGTGGAAGGATTTTGCCTGGATATTTCATGATTCTCTCTGAGTACAGTAACAATTTAACAACTCTCCTGCTTACTAAAATGCCCTCACCAAATCTACATGCCAATTGTTACCCCTCTGCATCAATTGTTACTCCCCTTTCTCTTGTTCTCAGCAAAGAAATAAAACTCCAACTCACCTTGTCCTTTTCTGAAGTATGCAGGTTTAGGAAGGTAAGTTTTTCTATCATTTCAACATGGTCCCTCTCAGCTGCCAAAAGAAATGTTTTTCTTCCTTTCTAAAAATCAGTCACAAACTTCAAGCATTTAATTACGTTCTTAGTGAATAAGCAAGAGAATGGACAAAGCTGGTGGCATTTTAAGGATGATGGGGAGTCGATGGGAGAAAGATGATGCTATCTCTGACTCCAAACCAGATTCGGTTCTGAGTTTTCACTCAAAACTGTGGGAGACTCTCTACATCAGCATGAAATCTGTTTCACAGGGGAAAACAAATACTGTTCAGAAAAGGTCCTCTCAAGTATCAGGGAGGATCAAGCAACATCACAGTCAGATGACAAGATTCCCTTTCAAATATAGTAATATTATGAACTTTATTTATTCAATAGTTCTTTCACCATTTACTGAGAAGCTACTATGTGCCAGACCCTGTCTTAGGCACCTGCACATCATACTAAGCCTTCCCTTACTGATAACAATGTTTGAAACAGAAATTTTCTGGGGCTAATTATTTATGTGGCTCATTCTGACATGACATTTGATTGATTAACTACTTCTCCTTACGCCCTCCCTGCTTCCTCATAGATTTTTCTACAATATCTACTAAGAATCAATAGGAAAACTCTTGAGAATAGGTCAATATGAAATGGAATTAAGAAATTAGGCTTTATCCAGAGACTATAGATGTAGAGAAATGTTTAGGTTTGATTTTTTTAGAAGATAAGCTCAAATATAGAATTTTCTGATTATGGAATTCCTCCTACTTTTCATGTTGCCATTGGAGACTGCATTTGCCATAGCCAAAATGTCATCAAGAAAAGTGAAAGATATGTCTTAGTCTGTTTTGTGTTGCTATAACAGAATATCTCAGGCTGGGTAACTTAAAAAGAAAAGAGGTTTACTTAGCTCACAGTTCTGCAGGCTGGGAAGTTCAAGGGCATGGTCTTGGCTTCCGGCAAGGCTTTTCACACTGTTCCATAACATGAGACAGAGGGTCAAAGGGATGTGAACATGTATGAAGAGACAAAACTCAAGGGGTATCCTAGCTCCCACTCTTGTGGGAACAAATTTATTCCTATGAGAATGAATCTAGTCCCACCAAAGTGAGAACTCACTACCTGAAGAATGGCACCAAGCCATTCATGAAAGTTCCACCCACATGACTAAACATTTCCCAATAGGTCCCACCTCCTAACACAACCAGACTGGGGATCAAATTTCAACATGAATTCTGATGGGGACGAACCATAGCCAAACTATAGCAGATCCACAGAAAATGTAATGTTGTAACTTGAGATAATTAAAAGAAGGAAAAGAAAGTTGTGGTGGCAATATGATAGCAGAAGTATTTTCTTCAATCAAAGAGAAGAAAATGCTCACAAATTAGCTTAGTGTGTTACTGAAAGCTTAGCAAGGTGTCTTAATGTGAAAAAATAGATATAAGCCTCTTTATAAAAAGGTCCTAAATCTGAGATTAGTTATCTAACACTTGAAAAAATAGGGTAATGAAAAGATCATGGTCACTGTTAACCTGAGATAACAACTCAGGAGCCCCCAATAACTGGAGAAAAAAGGAAGAAAAAATTGCTAAAATAATAAATGGCAAAAACACAAACAAATCTATAAAATCAGTCCTACAGAGGTCTGTATTTATGCATGTATGGAAGCGGAAGAAAACAATTTGCTCCAAAAAGTTCATCTAATTCATCATTCTTGGGCCATATATGTCACCAATGAGATCTACATCCTCAACCCTTCAAAGGGTTTAGTGATTTCATTCTCAGAAAATCAGCAAGAAATGGCAAAGGGAAGAAACAGAGACTGCTTGGAACCACAGTTTGCTGCTTTCAAGGTAAGTATTAATTGAAGGGTAAAATTAAATCTTGAGCCATGAGCAACTCTTCATAAATCACAAACCAAAAATCATTGGGTCTGATACACAAATATCTGCAAATAGTGACTACAGGTAAATTTTCATGTAAACAAATCACAAAAGAGGGAACAAAAAACAGTGATTATATACTAGATGAAAACATCTGGTCACATATCCTTATAAATCATTTATTCATTTGTTCAACAATTATTGAGTATCTATGTATATGCCAGATAACGTGCTAAGCAATAGGGTGACCAAGCTGAGAAATACATTGCTCATCCTCAAGCTGGTATTTGTAGTTCCTCTGTAGTTCTTCCCAGTAGATGGAATTTCCAATTGGGGTCATTTTATCATAATCTATGCTGCTTAGTAACATAGTTAATAATCTATCTAGTTTGCAAGGACACAGAGGCAAAAAGTTAACCAAAATTTAAATTCTCATGCAGAAGGAAAGGGGTTTTGTTAGCTCTTTACCCACAGACCACAAATCATACATGAAGATGTTGTGGCATTTGTTGCTTTTGCCTTTATATTTACCTTTTTTCTAGTAATAGCACTTTCGTTTTACTTTGGAGAACAACCACACATACACATACACACCCTACCATTTAGTGCATTTAGTGCTGTCCATTTTCAGGCCTTACCTGCCTGCCTTCTGACACAATATTAGACAAAACGACAATAGGAATTTCAAAGATATATGTGGTTTGTAAAAAATATAGTTTCTTATCATGTCCTTTATTTTTTTTAACCGCCCAATCAATCCTTTTTCATCACATTCAAGTAGGCATCTATCCAGGGCAGTCTCACAGGACCTCCCTTACTTGGAAGGCAGGAAGCTTTTCCAGCCAGAAGGATGGTGGAGCTTGGTGTCAGAGCTCTGGGTTCTAGGCCTTGGGCAAATCACAATGACTCCCTTGCTCAAGATCCTGTCCCTTTAAGTACTAAAATAATGTGAGTCCAGGATTTCTGTTCCATTTTTCCTCTATTAACTCCATGTATATTTAACCTGATTATAACAGGGTCTTACTTTGTCACTCAGGCTGGAATGCAACTTCTACCTCCTGAGATCCTGTGATCCTCCCACCTCAGCCTCCCAAGTAGCTGGGACCACCAGTGTGCAACACCACACGCTGGCTAATTTTTTGTAGAGACAGGTTTTCACCATGCTTCCCAGGCTGGTCTCGAACTTCTGAGCTCAAGAGATCCTCCCACTTCTGCCTCCCAAAGTGCTAGGATTAGAGGCATGAGCCACTGTACCTGGCTAACCTATGTTTTAATGCAATGCATTTAATTTTTTGTTTGCATGTAAGTCTGAGGGATTGGGATTTTTTATTATAAACGATTTTTAAGTTTGCTGAGAAGATTAAGTTATCAAATTTGATGTCATCAAATTAAGCAAAAATTTCATAAATAGCCATTAAGTGGGTATTCAAAGTTCAACCTGACCTTCCTTTACCACAGGGATCTCTGAGATCTCTGAGGATCCCCTGAGGAGAGGGCGCTGGGTGGGCCTCCAGTGCACGGTCCGACCCCACAACACTTCCCATTACCCCGGGATCAGGCACTTGAGCCAGGGGAAAACCCTGAATAACTAGAAATTTCAGAGGTTAAAAAAAATATGTGTCATGAGGTCAAAAAAAAAAAAAAAGCAGTATGTTAAATATGAAAAAGTGGCACTGGTAAGGTGGGAGACACCAGGCTAGTTTTCCCCTTACATAAAGGAAATAATAGATTTGATTAAATCCAAAGCTGTTAAATGTTGCCTGGTGTCTATATAAGAAAACAGGTGTCTTCTCAAGTTCCCTTCTACTCACTATTCCCACCCCTTCCAGAAAAAGAAGCTTCTTTGCATTTTGACTTCCAGAGAATTTAAACCATGGAAGTCCACCATATGCATAGCTGAAACCAACCTAACATTATACCACCAAATTCTTGTAAATATCCAACAAATATATGAATGGCATGTAAGGCCTTCCTATTTCCCTCCCTCTCCAAATATGTTAGTCTGAGCATTTATTTTTGATCACCAGATGGACATTGACATGTAGATTTGAAATATCTATACTTTACTCATAACTCCTGGCTGCTCTAATCTCTCTTCCTTGGAGAGGCCTTAATGATTTCTATGGGTGTGGAACTGGGGGAAATCCCAAAAGGTTTCCCAGCATCCTCCATCTCTCCCCACCCAAACTCCACCTGGCCTAGTTAAGTCCAATTTGTTCTAAGGGCCTCCTCCCAGGAAAGCTTTCCTTGTTAGCTTTTGGAGTTCCCTCCAGATCAAAGAGATGGATTTTACCAACCCTGGCAAGTACATAGGCTCTCAGTCACTATCTGTTGATAAGAAACTAGGCAAGAGAGTAACACTGTGAAGGTGAAGACATCTTTAATATCAAATGTATTTCACCAGCTTCACAATACCTTTAAGCAGATGCAAATGGGAAACCCAGCACTAAATCAATAGACCCTAAGCTTCTGATCCCAGTTGCAACTGGCTTTCCCCCAACATCCTTCCCCCGCTGCATTTTTTTTATTATGGTAAAGTATTCATAACAAAATTTATCATCTTAACCATTATTAAGTGTAGAGTTCAGTGGTATTAAGTATACTCATATGGTTGTGTAGCCATCATTACCATCCATCTCCATAACCCTTTTCATCTCACAACACTGGAATTCTGTACTCATCAAACAATAATTCCCCACTTTCCCTTCCTCCTAGTACCTGGCAACTACCATTCCAACTGGCTTTTGCCAAATATGTGACCCACTCGCAGATCTTAGAGAAAAAAGTAGATTTTTTTTTTTGTCTTTTCTATTCATCTATTTAGTTTTCTTAAAGGACTAAAGTTGGACTCCAGCTCAGAGTCTTCTTTCCCTAGATGACCCAGTGGATTCATTATTTGCTCATTCCTTGTGTGTCTCTGAACTCAGTTTAAGACCTCGCAGCTGGACATATCACTCTGCGGTTTGCTGCCAGTGTTCCTAAACCCTTTTTCCCAACAGATGGAAGAGGAAGAAGGTGAGGGGAGACAACGTGCCCAGAATCAGCTGAAAAGAGTTATGGACAGGATGGCTGCTGACCAGCAGGAACTCAAGAAGTAGGGAAGGCTCCCTGCAAACCTACTATGGTTTCTGAACCCCATCAGCCTGCCTGATCCTTCCCACACACTGCTGTCTTTCATGGAAGCAATCAGAGCACACTGAATGGGGAGATAACTGTGTCTCATCCATAACGGGCTGTCAACAAATATCTGCTGAACTGAACTGAATGGAATTCATTCATTGACCACGTCTCTAGTTGGCATGGATAAAATTAGAAAGATCCAACTTCCTCACCTGGGTACTCAATGGCATTTGACTATGACTCACTTTGAGAAAATAAGGTAGGATATTCTATCCTATAACAATTGTTACAACAGTGAGCACCTACAATGTGCCTGGCTTGTTGCTAAGTGCTTTATAGTCATTAGCTGATTTAAGCCTCTTAGCAGTGGCTACTCCAAGTATTGCTACATAGGAATGGCATGGGGTGGAAGGGGGTTGTGGAATGGTTCATCACGAACTCATTTGCATAGGTACTTTTACATAAGATTGAGGAAATGTCAAACATTATACATCAAAGAATGGAGGTTTCCTGATTTAAAAAAAATTATTATATGTGGGACAAGACTTCTCCTATCAACCTTTCTTGTTACCAAAGTAGGTTTTATTGTTTCCATTGTAAAGATGGAGAAACTGAGGCTTTCAGCAGTTGAAATATTTCTTAAAACCACACGGCTAGTGCATGGTGGTACTGACAAGACCACAGCCCAAGTCTGTCTTCCTCTAAGCTGTAAATGTATAGTTGTTTAGTCATATGCAGAGGAAGTCAAAGAAGTTTATAGACCTAACTTGAAGAAATACTTTTTGTTGTTGATATCGTTGTTTTCAAAAATAAGGTCAGAAAAAAATGTAAAATTTTTTAAAAAGAGGTGAAATGAAGTGAATATTACTGATCAGCTTCTAAAGAAAGTTTTATGGTATAGTATTCTGGTGGCACAGGGAAAAAGAAGTCCCATTCACAAAGCATATACTCCTGCTGAGAAATCAAAATGCCAATTTCACAAAGCCTACTACTCTATTAAAAAAAAAAAAAAAAGGCAACCACCCAATAAAAAAAAAAAAAAAAAAAAAAAAGCCCACCACCCAATTAAAAAAAAAAAAAAAAGCCACATACCTACAGGGAGATATCCAGGGAAAGGACAATCCCTGACATGGAGCAATGCCCACTGTCAATCTGAGGAGGGAGACAGCACAGTGTGAAGGCTGGATTCAGCCAGACCTAGCTTCAAGTCCTGGCTCTGTTACTTTTTAGTTGTGAGACTTGATCAGGTTGCTTGGCTTCTCTGAGCCTCAACTTCCTCTACAGATGAGCAAAATATTTTCTACCTTATAGGATTATTGTAGGGGTTAATGAGATCATTCATTCATTCAGAGATGATTTGTTGAGCATTGGTAGGTGCCAGGCCCAAGACCTCTTACTGAAATAATGTATGTAAATAGCTTTCCTCTGTACCTGGCATATTAATAGATACTCATTAAATAGTAGCTGGTATTGTTATGTATCCCCTTAGGTAAAGAAAAGGAATATTGACAAATGCAATAAAACTGCATTGTATGTCATGGTTCATTTCTGTATAGCTTTGGGTCAAATATATTTCCAAAAGGCCAAGCATAATAAAATTTAGGTATACATTCTGATAACTAAAGGGGATAGGATACTGTCTACACCCTGGCCAGGATGAGGGAGTAGAATGGGAAGAAGGAATCTGGGTGCTTCCTCAATACTTCCTGTTCTCCCTACAATCAGGGGCCAGGACCACCGCTAATACAACTCTCCCCTTTGGTTCTGTGGTCTGCCATGGTGATAGAGGAGCTGGCTACAGGGCCAGGTCTGTCTGTGCTGGTTGCTTTCACAGCTCTACCAGAGGCAGGAAGAAAGTGGACTTTGATAGGGGTGTTATGTAAGACCTGTACAACCAAAGCAAACACACCACATTAGGTTGGTTCAGGTCCTTGAGGTGCAGCTCTTGAATGAGATACTCCACGATGCGCACATGATTGCTCTGAGCGGCAAAGTGGAGGGCGTTCATTCTATCCTGAAGAGGGATACACAGTGACCTCAGAACTTCCTCTCTCCTGCAATGGTGAGGCAAGAGCTTTTGTCCAGGTGTGACCAGCATACCTACCTGATTCTTAGCTCTCTGATCTGCTCCAGCTTTAACCACCATGAGCATGATCTCAAGGCTCCCAGACCAGGCTGCAAGGTGAATTACTGTCAAGCCGTGCTTCCCCAAGAAGACAGAAAAGGAGAATCTATTACTCTGATGAGCTGCAGCATACTCTCTCATCAACAAAGGCCAAATTAATGCTAGACTGTTGAAAACTAAGACAGAGAATTCAATACGCATCAAAGGTGATATTTCGGTTCTATGGGGAAACATGGGTGTATTTAATAAGTGGTGCAGGCACACATGGTTCTCCATCTAAAAGAAAATGAAATGAAATGCTATATTATACCACATTCACAAACAATAAGCATATTAGAATAAAATCCAGACTATAATGTACAGTCTCTTAATCCACAGTTAGAATAGATAGATAATAAACAAAGTCAATTACAAATGACAGATTTTTTTAAATGTATCTTTTCTTTTTTTTGAGATGGAGTCTCTGTCACTAGGCTGGAGTACAGTGGTGCAATTTCAGATCACTGCAACCTCTGCCTCCTGGGTTCAAGTGATTCTCCTGCCTCAGCCTCCTGAGTAGCTAGGACTACAGGTGCGTGCCATTATGTCCAGCTAATTTTTGTATTTTTAGTAGAGATAGGTTTTCACCATGTTGGCCAGTATGGTCTTGATCTCTTGACCTCGTGATCCGCCTACCTTGGCCTCCCAAAGTGTGGGGATTACAGGCGTGAGCCACCGCACCCGGTCTAAAAATGTATCTTTAATAAAGATGAACGGCTATTCTACAATGCATGAAGCACACGTACACATAGAGAAGGAAAAGACAAACTCATGGAAAAATGGACAGAGAAAGGAAATGAAAATGATTATTGTTTAAGTATCTGCCAATATCAATCAAAATTGAAAATACAACCAGCAATCCCACTCCTGTGAATCTATCCCATGAAAATAAAAATTTCAATACCTAATGTTATATTTACAAGGATATTAATTGCAATACAAAAAATTGGGAGCAAGATAAAAGCCTATGAACATGGGAATGCTGAATAAGTTATAGAATAATCAGCCTATATAATGAAAGCATTAAAAATAATGAATTAATGCTACAACAATTGGCTTGGAAAGATTTCCATTAGCTTTACTAAATATGGAAAATAATATGGAGAATAAATGTGATATAATCCCATTTGTTAAAAATGAGTGATTAACAAAACCCTGTACATGTAAATGTATGTATCTATATCTATCTATAGGTGGGCTGGTGGGTAGGTAGGTAGATTGATTAATATAGATATGACTACGTGAGCAGGAGAAAGGTACAGAAATAAACACACATGTCTCAGATTGTTAAGTATAGTTACCAGAGGAAGAGAGGTACACAAAAGTGAAAAAAAAAGTTATAAAAAGGATCTCACTTATATAGATGCTACTTAAAAGATTTCATTTATGCAAAATTATATAGATTTTTGTGTGTGCAAACACGTGTACACAAAGTTGTTAGACTGAAAGAGACCAGGACTTACTGACCTGTAGGGACACTGTGGGCAGGTGTGTACCAAAAAAGCTGGGAGAAAAGTGAGTGTGGAAGGAAGCATAGCCAGCAGTTAACATTGGCTATTTCAGGGAGGTGAGATTCAAGGGAAATAAGCATAAAAATGCATTGCACCCCGGGCCCTAAGTTACAGAAGCAGTGTAGGGCAGACACTATGAGCCTGATCTTCAGGACCAAACAGAACTGATCTTAAATTCTGGCCACTTTCTATCACTTTTAAGTAGGGGAACCTTGATGAACTTAGTTCTACCTCTCAGCTTCAGCTTCCTTATCTGCAAACTCACGTGTCTGCTTTTCTGTTTTCTTTGGCCTCATGAAAAAGTAATCCATTTCCTCAGTACAAGTGCCTACCCAAAATAAGCTCTCACGCTGCATTTTATTTGCCTCTTCGAATCAGTTCTGTTTGTGATCTAGGAAACAGTTTGTGAGATGCACACAGTATGAGTAAATACATAAGGAATGAGGGCCTGCGGTACACTTCTATTTGTAAAATGCATCAGCCTTTTGGCATTTATTTTGGCTCTCCCACCAAGCTGCATTAATGTATTCTCTTATTCTCAGTAGAATTCATGTTGGGAGAATAAATTAGCAAGTCCAAATTATTGAGACCTAACTCTAAATTGGTGATTCTCAGCTGGGGGTGATTTGTCCCCAGGAAACATCTGGAAAAATGTATGGAGATATGTTTTACTGTCATGCTGGGGTGGGGGGAGGTTAATATTGGCACCTAGAGGATATAGGCCAGGGATGCTGCCAAACGTCCTAACAATACACGGGGCAGCCCCAACGACAAAGAATTATCTGTCCCAAAATGTCAAGAGCACCGCTGTTGAGAAACCTTCTGTTAATGTGCTTATCCTATCAAGTTTATATTTATACACACTAGACGGTGAGTTAGTCCGTTTGTAGATTTACAATTCCAACATGAAGAAAGCTCTTCATTTCTGGTCTCTTTGACCCAAAGAGCAGTGATGTACAATGACTGACTACTTGATGTTCTTCAAAACATGTTTCCTAAATAAAATTCCACCTCTTAATTTGGCCTTCCCTACAAGTCAGTGCTCTATATTCAGCAATACTAAGTATGCTTTCACATATAAAGGAGACCAGAAATATTTGAAACAGGTGACAAATCATGCTTTGATAGGAGATCTATTTTTTCCCTAAAAGGTCATTCCTAATTTCAAAGCAGCCTACATTTTCAAATTCCAAGCTCTGATCATAAAATCTCAAACCTGGGAATTCAAGCTGCAAGCAACTAACACCACAAATTCAGAGTGGAGCCATTGTTCCTCAGAGGCAATGAATCACAGCTCACAGATGTAAACTCCCCGAGAAGAACTTTCATAAAACAAATTCTTCTGTTATGAAACTGGCATGTCTGAGACTACTTAAGACTATGTGTCATAAATTACACTCATGGTTGGCTCACGAAGCCCTGTAAAGTATACATTCCCCACCAATCAGTGACAGTCTGTCCTCATTGCCAGTCTCATCATAAGTGAGGTCAATAATTTCCTCTGGGGAACACTTATGTATTAGGAGCTTCCCAGAGATAAGAAGCTCTGCTCAGAGATGTTTTTAACCTCTGAGCATCACTTGCACTCCCACCTGGGATCCTTTACTCCTGTCTGGAGTAAGAGTCTCCATTTATCTAGGAGGAAGCTGCCTCTTCCCAGGACCCAGGGGTGCTACTCACTTTGGTCCCTAGCATGCAGTGCCTTGAATGGTACTCAGCTGGTACAGTCTCTGTCCTTGCTCCCCAGATAGACTGTAGGCCCTGCAAAGCCATGACTCTGTCTCATATCAGTGCTTCCCAAAAACAATCACCTGGAAATTTTTTTAAATTACAGATTCTGATTCAAGCCTGGGGTGGAGCTCGAGATCCTGCATTTCTAACAAGCTTGGAGGTGATGTGCATGCTTCAAGTCCTGAGACCACACTTTAAACAGCAAGAACTTCTGTCTAGTTGAATCATCAGTAGTTGACACTGGGACTTACCCACAACGGCCACCGAATAAATACTGATGGTGAAGGGGATCAACTGTTGGCTCATTGCAAATGGTGTTAGAAGAAGTCAAACTCAAGGCTCATAATTCAGATAAAGAAACTGCCAGAGTGGGTCAAACATGACCTTGCTTGAATTATGAAAAACATTTTACTAGTTATGGAGTAATGCCACTGTAGATGATTTAATCAGTTATAAACATATTTAACTTAGTAAACCTTCAAAGCAGGAAAAAGAGACACACCAGGAATTACTATATTTCTCACCTGACATTATTTCAATCTTCAAGCAAAGTTAAGAGAAACTGAATCATGCTTCAGAGACAAGGTAATACAAATATATGTTTAGAGAAACCTCAGGGAGAACAAGTTGGTGAAACATCTCTCCATCATTTCAGGAATAATTGGCTTGTACTCTGACACAAACCTATCCTATATTTAATATATTAGAAACATGTCAGTCTTCAGATATACTGTTTAAAAGAAAAGACGCAATCTAATCTGGGCACATATCTAATCTGGATACATAGGTGTTTGCTGTATGATTCCCTCTACTTTGATATGTTAAAGATTTGGGGTTATGGTTCTGGCTGAAATGAAGTAAACACAGTCTACTCTGTGTCTCCCACTGAAACAAAATCTCAGGAAAGAATGCATGGAATGTACACCTACTATGTCACACAAATTTTAAATTAAAAAAAATTTTTAAAGAATGCATGGAACAGCTGAGGACTCTGTAAACAGTAACAGGTGGATTGGGGGGAAAAAATCAGAGCTCAAAGTAAGAACAATCCCGCAGTGACCTTCCTGATTTTTTTTCCTCCCATACCTTCCAACTTGGACCCAAGGCAGTGCAAATCATGGAACTGTGCCCTGGGCACACTCAGAAAGGTTTCCAAGAGAAGCTCTCTTGTTCTAAGGAGGAGAAGGGAGCCCCTATAGAACAGACAAAGTAGGAGAAATTCTTTGCTTCGTTTTTCTCCACTGGCCCTGCGCCCTCCTCTGAGCCAAGCCCCACTCTCAAAGCTACACTTTGACAGTGGCAGGGTAGCAATAGTGGCTGGGCAAGCACCTTAAACTCTGACAGAGGAGAATCTTTCTCTCTGACCAGAGGAACTGTGGTCATAAAGCAGGGTGCAGGGAGAATCCGTGTCTCTTTTTTTCTCTCGTTACCCTCCCCTACTTGGTCCTGGAGGCAGACTTTTTTATAGGAAGTACACAGCAGAGCTGGGAGACTACAGCCTTGGCTTTCCAGCCAGAGGACCAGAAAAGAAGTCCGGGAGCTGGAAATGAAGGGGAGCTGATCATGGACAGGATGGAGCTTGAGAAAGGGATGGCATAAAGTTGTGTGTGTGCTCCTGGGCTTACCCCTGAGCTGCACACGGACAGACGCTAGACAGCATGATGAAGGCTTGGAGAACTGAGCTATGGAATACACACTACCTAGGTTTCAGACTGGTCCCTGGATGGTACACACATGGGACAGATCTGAATAGAACTACACAGGTTTTGAAAACTGAAGTAAGGGCTGGGCGCAGTGACTCATACCTGTAATCCCAGTGCTTTGAGAGGTTAAGGTGGGAGAATTGCTTGCAGCCAGGAGTTCAATAACAGCTTGGACAACATAACAAGACCCTGTCTCTACAAAAATAAAAAAATTAGCTGAGCATGTTGGCACATGCCTATACTCCCTGCTACTCGGGAGGCTGAGGTGAGAATATCCCCTGAGCCCAGGAGCTCAAGTCTGCAGTGAGCTGTGGTCATGCCACTGCATTCCAGCCTAGGCAACAGAGTGAGACCCTGTCTCGAAAAATAAAAATGAAAAAGAAAAGAAAAAGAAAACTGAAGTGACATTGGTGTCAAATGGTGTTGAAACAATTGATCAGGTCATCCAGAGGCAAAAAAAGAAAAAGAACAGAGAATCTCAGCCCTACTTTATTTCTACCTTATCTGTACTACAATTAACTCAAAGTGGACCATAGATGTTAATATAAAACACAAGGGTTTAAAAACTTTAGAAGAAAAATATGAGAAATCTCATGACCTTGAGTTAGGCAATCATTTTTAGATATAACACCAAAGCAGGATTCACTTTTTTTCAAATAGGTAAACTGTACTTCATCCAAATTAAAAACTTTTGCTCTTTGAAAAACACTGAAAAGATAGGGTACAGACTGTGAGAAATATTTGCACACCAAAAAGTATTTGCATCTAACAAAGGACTTGAATCCAGAATACATAAAGGACTCAACAGTAAGAAAACAAAAAATCCAATTTTTTAAAACGCTCAGTAGATTTTTGAACAAACACATCACCAAAGAAGATCTGCAAATGATAAATAACACATGAAAAGATGTTCAATGTCATTAGCTATTAGAGAAATGAAAATTAAAACCACAATGAGATGCCAACACACCTATTTGCATGGTTGAAATGAAGGGGGAGAAAATGACAATACCAGGTGCTGATGAGAATGTGGACAAGTGGAACGCCATTGCTGGTGGAAATGAAAATGGCATAGTCTGGCGTGTGCTGCGTTGTTTAAAGACCTAAGAGGGAACAGCGGGGGGAAAGACACACAGACAGACACATAGGAAGCTGGGCTGGGGGCTCTGAAAAGCCTGTGATTATAATTCTTACACTTCAGTTAACATACTTTAGCTAACAACTATTTTGCAGCAAGGTTAGTGAGAGCTGGTTATCTTTTTCTAGGCCTCTCTGTTTTTCTCTGAGACATACACATTTTCCTACTATGGTTTTACTTTTCTGGAGTTTACCCAAAGTTCACAGCAGCCTTGCTGCTGATCCCCCCAGAGGGGTTGGGCTACTCTGGCTCTCTATACATAGTTGCTCTCAAAAACAGTCTGGCAGCTCCTTGTAAAAGTTACACATACACTTAGTATATGACCCAGTAACCTCACTCCTAGGTGTTTACACTAGAGAAATGAAAACTTATGCTTACACAAATACTTATACATGAATGTCTATAGCAGCTGTATTTGTAATAATCACAATCTGGAAGAAAAAAAAACACCTTAATGTTCTTCAATTGATGAATGGATCAATAAATGATGGTACATCCATAAACTGGAATAATTGCAACAATAAAAAGGGAGAAGTTATTGATACATACAAAAATATGGATGAGCTTCAGAGGCATTTCGCTGAGTAACAGAAGCCAGTCTCGAAAGGTCATTTATGTGGCATGCTCAGGAAGGCAAAACGACAGAGACAGAAAACAGACCAGTGGTTGCTAGTGTGGGAGATGTTGGTTACAAAGAAGTGTCATGAGGGAATTTTTTGGGTGATGCAATTGTTGTGTATTTTGATTATTTATAGTCATACAAATTTGTACAAATATTTTTGTTTGTTTGTTTTTCTGAGACAGAGTCTCTCTATGTCTCCCAGGCTGAAGTGCAGTGGTACAATCTTGGCTCACTGCAGCCTCCATCTCCCAGGTTCAAGCAATTCTCCCACCTCAGCCTCCTGAGTAAATGGGATTATAGGCGCCCACCACCACATTTGGCTAATTTTTGTATTTTTAGTAGAGACGGGGTTTCACCATGTTGGCCAGGCTGGTCTTGAACTCCTGACCTCAAATGATCCACTTGCGTCAGCCTCCCACAGTGCTGGGATTACAGGCATGAGCCATAGCACCTGGCCACACACAAAGTGTTAAAAACTCATAGAATTGCGTACCAAAAAGGAAAGTTAATTATAAAGTGTATTAATCTAAAAGTGAAAGTAAAATAAAAGGATACTGTATCAAGTTTTCAATGTAGAAATAAGAATACACTTGGATAATCTTGTCTCTTAACCAATGTGTCTTTTGTAGGCTAATATTGCAAATCCTAAAATATATGTTCCTTAATTACTACAGCCATTAATACAACTAGTTACACTCACAGTCAGAGTTCTTTCAGTGCCAATTTTTAATTCTGGTTTGCCAATGTAACAAACTACTTGCCCACCAATACTAGTGCAATAAACTAGAAAGGGGTGTGCCCCAATGGTGACACAAAGAGAAACTCTCATCACTGTCGAGTCTAGGTGTTGTGAATGATTGCCAACAAGACCAACAAGGTGACCAATTGGTTATTATGACCTTAACCACTTGTCTTCCAGAAATGTACAAGGTACATACTAAACCCAGACCTTGTGAGATAGGAAGGTAAAGCAATGCTGAACATTATCCTCCAAGAAGTCACAGTCCAGAAAGAAAAGAGAATACCTCTGTGGGAATCTTCCGAACAGTTTAAGAATCATGGTCCATTGTATTAAGAGCCAAGAACTTTAGAGCAATGCTATCATCTTGTTCTGCAACGTGAGATGATGAACAGGATGTCGGGTCTCTTCTGTTGGTTTCCTTGTGCCATGGTACAGTATTAAATGAAGGTGGGAAAAGTAGGTGAAAAATCCTTGGTGTGGGTTTTGAAATCTAAGCAGATAAATAGTTACGCTAACAGCATGGTCTCTGGAATCAGACAGGCTAGGTCCAAATCCTGCCTCTACCCTTCTTAGACATAATTTTTTGGGCAGGATATATTTAATCTCTCTGTCTCAGATCCTCATCTGTAAATGAGTTACTGTAATAATACTTTTCTTAGAGGAGGAGGATTATTATCAAAGTTTTCTAACTTGGGCCTGGCACCTAGTACCTGTTTAACAAGCCTTATTTATTATCAGAGAGTTCATAGGGCAAAGTCAATATTTAATGTCTCTGAGGCCAATTAGCTTCTTCCACATCCCAGATTATACTCTGGACAATGATCTTCTTTTTACAGATGCATACTATTGGCCATAGGGTCAAAATGAGAAAATAAACAAAACCCCAAGTCCCATAAGTAATGGGTAAACAATTTAGTTCCCAAATTCAAAGAGCAGATATGTATATATTCTCTAAAGAGACCTTTCTAAAATGAGCACTCCCAATTAAAATATTTTGTGTGTATGTGAAGAAAAGATGTCTGGAGTGATCAGATTCTCCCTGTCCATTGGTTATGCTCCAACTTGTCCTACTCAATAAAGATGAGCTTACCTTATCAGCAACATCCACCCTGGCCTTGTGTTTAAGCAAGAAATCCACTGCAGATAAATGATTTCTCCCCACTGCAAAATGCAGGGCTGTGCGGTTCATCTGCAGAAGCATAATTTATGTTTTTAGTCATCTGATCATTATTTAGCCTTTTTAGGTTTCCTGTTTCTTGAATGGCCATATTTTTCTATCAAGTGTTTCTATTTTGATAGTTTGGGTCCACTCTTTACCTTTGAAAGTTATGAGAAGTGTGTCCAGCAGAATTCTGCCTTCATTATGAGATAATATCAGAGAATTTGCCAATCCACTGAAGAACACACCTCAAGCTAAAATTCTTGTTTCAGCTTATATTGTATTATATTGTAACATTATGTTGTAGCAATATAAGGGGTTTTGCCTAGAAAGTAAAAGTTGGATTCCCTCCTTATGCAGTCATTAATAATGGTAAAAGTTTCTGCTTAGAATATATTAATAATGCATAGCAAAAATTTACCTAGAGGTTCAATCCATTCATGTTCGTTCTTCTGTAAGTGTCTGGACTGTAAATTTTACTGAAGCAAATAAATTCCTTCTAAAAGGAAGAAGGAAGGGAGGAAGGAATAAAAGGAGCAAGGAAAGGAGGAAGGAAAGTAAGACAGGGAAAGGCAGAGAAAGAAAGCTATGACTATATTTTGCTCCAAAGAAAAGTCAACATGGTGCTCCTGGGATGCCCACAGACAGTCTAATCCATTTCAGAAAATGGAAGTTTTGCTTGGAAGTGATATGTGTCACATTTCTCATATTTTAGGCACTGTTTTTGCTCCCAAAGAAGATGTCTGGTCATGGTTTTACTATTCTTTGTTACACGTAAGTAATTTTAAAAAATGAGAACTGATTAAATATTTGATTTTTTTGGTACTGTCAACCTAAATAATAAGAGAGGCTTTCAAAAGAAAAGATATTTATTTGGGAATAAAGCATTGCAACAGAAATATGCATATAATAGCAAGCTATGTGTGTATTTAGAAGAGTAAAAGAAGACAAAGCTTTTTAAAGGAAAAAATAAGGAGGATTACATAATTGTTTTTGAAATAATTATCCTTTGCTACAAAGTTCAACAACCAGCTGACGCCAGTCTGAGATTAGAAAGGCAGTTGCTGGGCAGATGTCCTTGCAGAAGTATTTTTTGTGCAAGGCTGTGATGACCTTTGTGCAAGGTTGTGGGTTTGCAGTCTTTTGTGATAGTTTTTGTTATCAAGTATACAAGCATGAGAACTCTGTCTTCATGGCCTTCCTCAGCTCTGTTTGTCAAGGTTTTCTTAATATTGGTGACCCCATTTTGATTCTGAAAACTTTTACAATAGCTAACTCAGTGATAAAATAAGTTTGACAAAACATGAGTTATGGCTGGGCATGGTGGCTCACGCCTGTAATCCCAGCACTTTGGGAGGCCGATCACCTGAGGTGGGCAGATCACCTGAGGTCAGGAGTTCGAGACCAGCCTGGCCAACATGGTGAAACCCCGTAACTAGTATAAATACGAAAATTAGCCACGCATGGTGGCACACATCTGTAATCCCAGTTACTAGGGAGGCTGAGGCAGGAGAATTGCTTGAACCTGGGAGGTGGACGTTGCAGGGAGCCAAGATTTCACAATAGCACTCCAGCCTGGGCAACAGAGCAAGACTCTGTCTCAAAAAACAACAACAACAACAACAAAACAACCCATGAGTTACACGGCTCCATTATGTCAACTTTGGGCTTATAAGCTCCGCTATTAACTTTATTTGTGAATAAGGATGTAAGCCAGAATTTCACCCAAAATAATTCAGTAAAATTATTTATATTTAAAAAATCTCCATCATCACGGATTTTAAGGAACTCTACAAGTAACCATGTCAACAATTTTCTGTAAACAGTAAACAGATATCATTAGAAAGTATAATACAATTCATTAGCTCATAATAATTTGCCACACTGTAAGTTAAAGTGTATTAGATTGTACTATCTCTCCAAGTACTTTAATCAACTTTTAAAAATGTTTAAAATAACAGAAAGTTGTATATGGAAAAATGTTAAATGGTTTAAATAATATACTGGAGAATCTATTTCCTGCTACATGGAAAAGTGATTTTTGCTTCACTTACTCCCACAATTAACCTTCCATGGTCACAATAATCTTCAAAGATATCTATCCATAAAAATTTTTGAAACTATGCAAATATTCCCTTCAAAGAGACTTACTTACTTCTTTTGTTTTCCCTCCTTTGCATTTTTTCTTTTTGCCCTTCCTTGCTTTCTTGATTTGTTTTTCTTTTTGTATCTAAAATTGTTATGCTACAAAATTTTGCTGTTTTCCTATTCTAGGATATCTATGGAACATGAACACTATATACATCCATAACACATCACACACACGCATTATACACACAGAAATAGCAGTCCCCACACTCATCCCCACACATAAGCACAAACCGCCCCGCACATGCACAACATTCTTCCACTGCACATGCTACATGATTTCAGATTCTGCAGCTTCAGTTTCTGGGGCCTCACTGCCTGGGACAGAGAAAAGTTTTGTGGAACCTGAGTTTAGACTATTTAGGAGTCCTCTTTAAAGCCAGAGTCAGAAAGCTTAACTAATTGCAGTTAAAATGCCCTACCTTTTTCAGATTTTACAAAGTTACATAGTCATAGGAACATATTACTAGAGTCCTCTCACTGCCTTACAAGGGGACTGTGCAAGCAAGGGCCTTGAAGCTTATGCTTCATTTACCATTAAATCCACCTCTGCCACACCCACCTCGAACCACTCCACAAATTGTCCTAAGCAATTGACACAGCCTTCAACCTTCACTTTGATAAACCTGGCCTCAAAGGACTATCAGGAAATCCTCACAAAAGCAAGTAGCAGAGAATCCAAATTTATGGCAGTGGACTTTCCCTCCGCTAAAACCCAGGCACTTAAAGAACAAGTAAGAGCCACGTTTTAGATAAGGTCTCATGGTCCAAGAGGTAGATGCACTACATTTCAAAACCAGTACAATGAAAATCCACACACGCCTTTAGATTTTAAATTTGGAGAAACAGAACCACAAAGGACATCATTGGCAAGAAAACAACCCAGATTATATAGCAAAAAATGTTCTGCCTTTCCAGAATGTGTGAGGCCAAACCGATCCACAGGAGACAATCCAGGACTGAGTCCAGGCCCGTAACCCTGACAGCTGGCTTTACTGCCCACCCACAGACTTTGCAGAGATATGCATGAAGATTCTGTGCACTCCCCCTCTTGTAAGAGGAATCAAAACACCCAGAGCCTCTTCCACTGTTTGACTCCACTTTTTAGCTTAAACACCCCGGAAGATCTCCCTTATCTCAGCCAGCACCATGATTTTTATTTTTATTATTATTTCAGGTGTCCCATGTAACCCAAGCCATCACCGGAGTAGTCACTTGCCATATTTATGACTTCTACCCGCATTGTTCACAGCATTAATGTTAACCTTCTTTTCAAACAGCTTCTCCATAAGATCCAAATTATTGCTTTTAGCAGCATTCTGAAAGCTTCTTTCATTTGGCAGTACTGAAAGAAAGCAAGCAAGCAGGACTGAGGGAATTGAAGGAGGCCAAAGAGAAAGCATATTTCATAGGGCAACAACAGCCTTGAGTCTTTCGCATTTTGCTATTTCATTTAGGACATGGGAACTTTGCTTCAGTATCTTATAAAACTGCAGTATTGAGATTCCACATTCTCCTCATGCTGCAAGGGTTTCCACACCCTTAAAAATGTTCCTGGCCCCAAATAAAACATTATTCATGAGGACCACCCTGAAGTCAGCATTGTGGTATCTGGCTTAGAAGGTAAGCAGGTGGCCATAGACTTCCCAGGGGGCATTGTTTGTAAAAAGCCTTGTACAAGATTAGACGGGGAGGGGTCCAAATGCACCATACAGCTTACAGAGATAAAACTGTTGTCTTCTGAGCTCCATACAGACATCAGGCCTGCATGAACAAAATTTCAAAATGCAGCCCGTCATACATACAGACACAAAGGTAAATGGGATGAGACCGTTTTATTGTCATTTATATAAAAAGACATAAAAGTAGATTCACATCTACTATAAACATCACATTTCACACACATATACACATTCAGATGGTAGGCTTTATTAACTATCATAGAGAAATTACAGGATTTGAGTTTTTTGTTATGTAGGGGAGTAGAGGGCTCTCAGAGGACCGCCCAGCATCAGGGGATATGACCACAATTGAGGATAAGTAGGAGTCAACCACAGACCATCTCCAAAAAAGAGGTTTTTGTAGATGGGTTGCTGCTGAGTAGTTTCCCAAGGGTTTGTTTGTTTTTTAAATGATACTATCATGACATTCAATGTTCCCCAAATTTTTGCTGAAGCAAAGACCCTTCAGAATACTGCCAAGTCCAATCAAAGACCAAGGAGTATCTTCTTGGGAAATATTGTCATGGGCTGAATTGTGTTTCTCCAAAATTCTTATGTTGAAGTCCTAACCCCAAGTGAGAGGGAAGACCCCTCCCCTGCTTGCTCCTGCTCACGCTGCATATGAACGAGCAAATCAATGAAGCCAAAAGATTGTAAGGTCAGATGTCCAGCCAATGGACAATGATATAGTTTCACCTCAGTTTCTCCTTTAGCATTGTAAGCCTATAAAAGGAGAAAGAAGCTGCTTTTCAGGGAGCTCGGTAAATGAGGCTGTAGTCCCCCCACAGCTCCCAGCCGAATAAAAAGCCACTTCCTTCCCCAGTTGGGTGTTCAAAAGGTTTGTGTCTCACTTTTCCTTCTTCATGAGTACCTCAGAATGTTGCCTATATTTGGAGATAAAGCCTTTAAAGAGGTAATTAAGGTTAAATGAGGTGATGCAAGGGGGCTCCAATCTGATATGATTGGCGTCCCTATAAGAAGAGAGATTAGGACACACACACACACACACACACACACACACACACACACGCACATGCACACGCACACACACAGAAGGAAGACCGTGTGAAAGTAGGGAGAAGATGGCCATCTACAAGCCAAGGAGAGAGGCCTAAGAAGAAATCAAGTTTCCCAACATCTTGATCTCGGACTTACAGCCCCCACAACTGTGAGAAAATAAGTGTCTGTGGTTTGAGCCATCCAGTCTGCTGTACTTTGTCATGGCAGCCTGAGCAGACTCATATAGATTCACATGTTCATTCTTTCTATTACTTGGATCGTTTTCTTCCTTCCTACCCCCTCTCTTGTCACTATTCTAGGTGACTTCAACCTCCTCATAGATGATTAATCCAACACCTTTGCCTCTTAGTTTCCTGACTCTGTCACCTCTAATCATCTTCCCCAGATCTGACCTCAGCCATCCAATTTCAGAGGCACATTCCTGAACTAACTATCACTCAAATGGCACTACTTCTGAAATCTTGACTTCCAGAATCCTATTCTTTGACCACAACTTCTCATCCATTCAGCTCAGCTGCTCCAGTTCTCCAAGTCCAGAAATTCTGCAACCTTATTAAGTTCTCCAATCCACAGTTCTAACCCCTTTTTCATATTCTTCATCCCTATATCCTTATTTCTCTCCTTACCATGTTTACAGTCCATGGTGCCAGACTGTTTTTGCTGCTATAACAAAATACCTGACTCTGAGTAATTTAAAAAGAACAGAGATTTAGTTCACACATTCAGACCATACCACATGGTCCATCTATGAAATCACTTCTATGCAAACACTTACCTCCCTCACCAATCTTTTCCTCCATTAGACTAGTTGGTCAAGATCCTAATTCTGAGACCAAATCCAACTGCTACTTGCTTTATTTCTGTATCTGAACAGCTAAATGGTACTGGAGAAAAACACACAGCAATGCTGTGGTAGACATTGCTAGTGTTCATCAATATCTGCTTCTTCTCTTCTACCTGGTCACATGGGTAAGCCCATATCCCAGCCTGGATACAGCTAGATGAGATCTATCCAATGGACTAAAAGCAGAAGTGATGGCATGTCACTTTGAGGCTCAGTGAAAAGCCTGTGTCACCCTCCAGGTCTCTTTTTCTTGCCTTAACCCTGGAAGTCACGTGTATAAATGAAGGAGGTCACAAGATAGTGGTAACTTCATCAACTTGGTATTTATTGGGAGACAGTTCTCCCTGGGTCTGTCACATTTCTTCACATCTTCTAAGCAAAAGCATTGACTGGCTTTGTTCTTTACTATCTTTTCAAGGATGTTTGTATAGTGAAAAGCCTTTGAAAATAGAGATAATATCTTCCTCTGGAGCAAAGGGCAGGTCTGCTTGCAGCCTTTGAAGAAAGCAATGATAAGCATGCTTACTGACTATTACAAAAGTTTTGGGTTCCGTAAGTGCAGGATTGTTCTGTAACACAACCCACTGTGTGTGCAAGTGTCATTGGGCATTCTTTACATCTCCCTGTAGAAATTGGGGCTTGGAGAACTAACACAAATGCTAACACTGGCTACTGCTACTGCTGTGAGTAATGAAATCCATCATCTCTAATCCAAAAGTGTCTTCTGCCAGCATCTCTATCACCTAGTAAGCTAACTTGTGATATTACAAGGAGGGTAAAATCTCAGTCCCTTTGTGACCCTTGACACCTGGGTTCCTGAGAGACTAAGAATATGAGAGACCCTCTCCAGCCTATTTTGGACATGCTACACAAGCAAGAAATATATATATATTTATTTTTTAATGTAGAGATTTAAAAGGATCACTGGCCTCAAGTGATCCTCCCACCTGGGCCTCCCAGAGTGCTGGGATTACAGGTGTGAAACACCACATCCGGGCAGAAATAGATTGTTTTTATGTTCAGTCACTGAAACGTAGGAGTCATTTATTGCTGCAGGAAAAGCTTACTTTGTCCTGACTGATACACATGCTAACAGGTCTCCTAAATTCTTCCCGACTAATCTCAGTACTGCTAGCTAGCCTCTACATTTCCCTAGTCTTCCCTTCCTCAGCATGTCACATCCTTTCCTTTCTCCCCAAATATCTGAATTTACTAATCTACCTGATTTACTTCCTCCCACTACCATCACCTAACTCTCAGTTAATACTACTGCCTCATAGTGAAAACAGAAGTAATAGGACACAAATTCCCACATCTTCCCACCTAGGCGAGTCTACCAACTTACCTTCATTTATACAGACAGGATGAAGCATCCCTGTGCCTAGGAAAGGCCAACTCTACACTTGGGCTCTGGATCCCTGCCCCTCTTATCTTTTCAAGTGTTTCATATGTCAATCTCCTGGAAATTATCTCTTCTTTCCTCTAGATCACTTAATCTCTCTCCAGTGGATCACTCCCCTCAAAAAATATGGAGTTGCCATAATCCCGTAAGTGTAAAAAACCCTCCCTTGACCCCGGCTTCCTTTCCAACTGCTGCTGCATTTTTCAACTTTCCATTACCCCAAACTTAAGTACTCTATAATTGTTGTCTCCATTTCGTCATCTCACAGTCTTGTCTCAACCTACGCTAATCAGACATCTTTCTCATCCCTCCACTGAAACTGCTCTCGTTGAGGTCACTCCGTCTTGCCAAAACCCAGTCATCATGCCTCTGTCACGTGCATTGAGCTTTTGGCAATTGGGACGCAAAGGAACACTGCTTGTCACATGTTCTTCTCTAGTGGTCTGGTAAACCACTCGTTACTTTATAGTCCTTTTTTATTGGCTCTTTTTCCTTTGCTTGACCTCCAAATATTAGAATGCCCTAGGTTTTATATAAAACAAATAACCTGACGATGCAGGCATGAGTCCCTTCATCTTACAGATGAGGAAACTGCGATCTTCAAAATTTACACCACTTGCTCATGCTTTGTAAGTGATAGAACTGTCCCAGGCAGCCTGAGTCCAACCACATCACCCTGTCTCATGGCCTTCACAGCACTTACTATTACCTTAAATTACCTTATTCATTTATTTCTGTACTTATTTTATTGTCTATCACCCCTCCACCACAACAGAATGTTCCACCAGAACAGGGGTTGTCTTTTTCTCTCCATCCCTACATCTAGAACATGCCTAGCAAATAGTTAAGCCCTTGAAAATATTCCTAGAACGATTGAATGAACATCATATTGAGGAATTGGTGTACAGCTTCCAAGCCTGGTTTAGGAAATAAGGCCATCCAGCTATCAGACTTGGATGGTGTGCCCCGTCTAGAGACTTGAGTTCTGGGAAGGTTGAGGTGGCAGAATCACCTGAGCATGAGGAGATCTGTGATCGCACTACTGCATTCCAGCCTGTGCAACACAGCAAGACCCTGCTGGGGAAGGGTGGGGGGTGGTGGGGGGGGGAGGGAGTGGGGAGAGAAAGAGGCTTGAATCACTTTCAACTTTTAAACTGTTTAACAGCTGCCTCAATTTATTCTATACATTATTCCCAAGGCATAGATGATCCACTCCATGCTTTAAGAACTTAAGTGCAGAAAAGTTAAGTGACTTATTTAAAGTCAGACAATAAATCGGCGCATAGTCACGATATAGGAGATAAGAGCACGGAAACTCTTATCTGCAAAAGGACTTAATCGTTATTTTTAAAAGCCTCCTCCTTAATTCGGAAGAATAACACTGTCCTTCAACCCACAGTACATGGTAGGGGTGGATTCCAAAGCTGAAAACCAGCCAACCAGGAATGCAGCGGTGGAGGCTGGGACTGGGGGTCCCAGGGAGGAGTCGCTCCCGCGGCGACCGGAGGCGCTGCACTGGGTACCTTCCCAAGTCCCTTCGAACCAGCCCGCCCAGCAGCCTGATTTTCTGAGACCTCGTCCCGGGACTCACGGAGCTCGTGTCCGGCAACTGCCGGGTCCTCCTCTCCAAGCCACTCTCGCTTCGGGATGCGGGACCGGCCCCTCCAAGGCAGGGCGGTCGCGCCCCTCAGGTCTTCCCTCGGAGCAGCAGTCCCCTCGCCGTGGCCCCGTGGCCCCGGGTGCGGCCGGCGGCGTCCATGGTCGCCTCTGCGGACTCGTTGCGCGGGACCAGATCCAGACTCAGACTCAGACCCAGGGCGCGGGGCTGGACGCAGGCAGGTGAGCCCGGCCGAAGCACAGGATCGAGTTCACTCTGCTGTGATTAGCTGGGTAACAAGCCCCTGGTTTCCTGTCCTGGCTTGGGCCGGCCTGGGAGAATCCGCCCTCAGGTGCGATGTGCACTGTGCTAAATTTGGTTCTCCAGGAAATAAAACGGCCTGAGAAATTTACAAGCTCCAATAAACTCCCAGCTCTGCTCTACCACTTCTTTCTACAATTTTGAGAAATGTGAAGGTTGAATTTATAACCAACACTATTGGAACTTCAATATTAAATCATTTCTAAATGGACTTCCAACATTTTCTTTCGACTAAATTTCTCATTTGAAGACCATGCAATTATATAATCTTTCCCGGCGGATTCTTTTGAAAAGTGAAATAATACAGAAGCAAATGAAATTCTGACCCCTCCCCCAAATAAACTTCAAATAAGAAAATCAGATTTTCACTTATTTTGTATTCTTCTTACAAATTTACAAAAGAGGTATCATTTTAATGTAAATTATCTAATATGAATGTTCATTTCAAACTTGGCAGTTTTTTCCTTCAAATTACTGTGCACCACATTTGAGGCATTAAATTCAAAACAATGTTTCCTTATCAATGAAAAAACAAACATGACAAAATATTATTTATTGTAACAGAACACCACCCGTAACCTCAAACTTTCCTTTACAGCTGCCAGAAAGGAAGGTTCCCAGAAGCAACCACACATAGTACTTCTGTTTTTTTTTGAGATAAGTTTTCGCTTTGTCACCCAGGCTGGAGTGCAGTGGCGTAATCTTAGCTCACTGCAACCTCTACCTGCCCTGTTCAAGTGATTTTCTTGCCTCAGCCTCCTTAGTAGCTGGGATCACAGGTGTGTGCCACTATGCCCAGTGACTTTTTGTATTTACTTAGTAGAGACAGGGTTTCGCCTTCTTGGCCAGGCTGGTTTTGAACTCCTGACCTCAGGTGATCCACCATCTTGGGCTTCCAAAGTGCTGAGATTACAGGCATGAGTCATCACACCTGGCCAGTACTTCCTTTTATATCCCATTAGTCAAAACTCAGTCACATGGCTAACCCTAGATGGGAGGGTGTGAGCTGGAAGAGATACACTGTAGTCATCAATTCTGTAACACCCACTTTTCATATTATCACATCTCTTTAATTGAGATACTAAATTGTCTCCCTGAATTGAAGTTGAGTTCTGCCAGAGAGGATTTGCATATGCTTCTGTCAGTCACTAGGGACAATACTTTAATTACATTTTCTGCTTGAGCTCTTTAGGATCATACCATTTGTATGAATTCAGATTACAAGCCTACATGTGTACCGGTTTGTGGTTTAAATTCTCACTGGCAGTTCCTCCTTCCAACCAGTGCCAAGGTTGAGCATGCCAATTTGCTTTGCTCCCTCTTTCTTCTTTATCCTTGCTCTTAAGGTAGAAACTTTGGTGTCCCATATTTATGCAGTGGTAACCTATTAGACTCCCTATCTTAGGTATTATTTCTTAGTGGTTTGTAAAATAAAGAATTGATGAAATACAGTAGTCTATTCTGGGTGATCATGTGCCTAGCTAAAATTCTAATAATATAACCAAAAAGTAGAATGTTGAAGGACAACCAGAATCTCTGCCCAGAACTGCTAGTAAAAAACAAAAAACCTTGGCGCATCTCACACTTGAGACGGTTTCAGAGGTCACATTTGAAGTTTAGCATATTCTAGGAGAGAAAAAACTTTTGAGCCTTCATAAAAGAAAAGTAGATTTGATTCCAGAACTGACCCACCTTTTTTCCCCCTTTTTGTCTCTAATTTAGGGAATCTCTTTCTCCCTCTCTCCACATACACCCAACAGTATGAGTGATATTAGGAAAGTATTGTCTGTAAAAATGCACGAGATGATCTAGAGCAGGGAAAGAAACTAGCAAAAGTTAAGCTATGAGTTAGAAGGCCAGATATTAGACAACTGTTAAGAACCTGATAAAAGAAATGGAAAGAAGTGTTTTCAAGAGGTCCTACAAGAGTAGACAGAACTGAATGATAGGCATGTGGTTAGCAGAGGTTGTGTGTGTGTGTATACAGGAACGAGTTTGAAATAATACTACACTTTAGAGACTGAACTTAGAAGAAAAGGGTTAGTACCATTTGTCTCTCAATTATCTTTTATCTCCCTGAGCATTCTGTACACAGCAGCAGTTACAAAATAAGAGTGTCGCAATTACCTCATACTGGTAAGGGGAACAGTTCAATATTATGGTTTGCTTAATAAATGGAATCATGTTTCCAATACTCACCATAATGTCATTTGAGTTTTCCTTAATTCAGCTATGTATCACAAAGCAAAAGTGATTAGTCCTTAATTATACAATGAAAGAACAGTTTTTGCTCCAGGGAAATAAACATCACCTCTCTGTGAAGTTCACTAAAACCCTACCAACACGAAGTGTGTTCAAATATATTGCTGCTTTTCAAAATGGAACATTACTTCAAAGAAAATTCAGTACCAGGGCCAGGCGTAGTGGCTCACGCCTGTAATCCCAAAGCTTTGGGAGGCTGAGGAAGGAGGATTGCTTGAAGCCAGAAGTTCAAGAACAATCTAGGCCACATAGCAAGATCCTATCTCTATAAAAAAAATTAGCTAGGCATCGTGGCAACAGCCTGTAGTCCCATCTACTTGGGAGGCTGAGATGAGAGGACCGTGTGAGACCAAGAGTTCCAGGCTGCAGTGAGTTATGATCATGATACTTGCATTCCAGCCTGGATGACAGCAAGACCTTTTCTCTAAAAACAACAGTTCAGCACTAGCTACACCAGGTATGATTTTTTAAATGGAATATTTCCTCAAAAAATAGTTTTTTTTTTCAAAAGTTTTTTTTAGCTCCAGGTTAATAGTCATATTTTAAGCCTTCTTCCAGATACTTCCAAGCCACTCCAAAAGGACACAGTATAAAACATGTATAAAGATAGGCATTATTTAATAAAGGGAAAGAAATGCAATTGTTTCTTTCTGAAATGTCCACTCCTTAGGACCTGGTTTGAGTGCAGCCACTTAGCCACCATTCTGTCTTCCCAGAGAAGAACAATAGTAAACACCCTGGGACACATACTGTTTATTCATTTGTGTGTAAACAAATGACTCTTAATATTTACTGTGTGCCAGGCCATACACTTCATACTTGGAATTCAGAGATAAGTGAAAGATAGCCCAGGATCTCTTGGGGTCTACAATCTGGTAGGGAGAAACCAACATCAGGAACCATGCAAAGAATGTTTCAGGGTCTTTGTAGAGAAACAGGAGCACAAAATAGTGACTCATCAGTTTTTCCAGAGAGCAAGGAACCATTTTCTGAAAGTGGGCCTTGAGTTGAGTTGAAAGATGAGTGATTGTGTACGTAGGAGAGAGAAAATGGGCATTCAGGAAGCATATTCTGGGCAGAGGGAGCAGTGGAGCACAGATGCCAGAAAGGAGAAATAGCTTGGTCTGTTCAGGAAACCCTGATTGCCAAGCCAGTGTTTAGAGTGTATCATGGACAGTGATAGATAGGAGTTAGCTTGTACTGGCTTGCAAGAGATGTTAAAGTTTCGGGAATTTTGTGAACTTGTTGACATCACATAACTTGAAATCTGTCATGGTGGGAGTATATACACCTCAGAAATAATCAAACACTAAAAATCACTCCTTTTTCCTACCCATTCCACTGCTAATCTTGGAGAGAATTGAGAGCTTTTGAAAATTGCCTTTTTTTTTTTTTTGACATGAGAGTGCTATTATGGGAATAGCATAATAGCACCCTCATGTTGTTTATAGCTAATCTGTAAAAAATGCGTAAGATGGTTTAGAGCAGGGAAAACTGACAAATCAGTTGGAAGGTCAGAGTTTAGACAACTGATAAGGATTTGACAAGAGAAATGGACAGAAATAGGTATTTTCAGGAGGCCCTCCAAGAGTAGACAGAATTCGATAACAGATACTTGGCAGAAGTAGCAGTGGATATAAGCAGGATGAGTTAAAAGGTAAGGAGTAGTAAAGAAATACAGTTTTTAATGAGGGCAGAAAAAGTGTCTCCTATTAATTGCTACATCTCTCTTGCCTTTCACTTAGAGCCTTCTTACATAAATGCCTATACCACTGTCTACATTTTCTTAGCACAAAGTTCCCTCTTAAATTCTGTTATATGGCTTCTATTACCCTTGTTGATGCTGAAACTTCTTACTCTAGAAGGTCACTTCTTCAGTGGGGACACTGACCTTGTGGATACCACAAATCCCATACCACCTTTAAAATAAAGCACGTCTGGTGGAGTGAATTAAATTTATACATACTTCTTATAATGCTACTTTTCCTACTATCACATAAGATTGAGGAAAGGTGTGTAGCTCTGTATTTCAGGGACAATGTAAAGACTGATATTAAAAGAGACGTTTGAATTACATTGAAGAGAGGGTTATACACACGCAAACAATTATTAGGCCTATGTCATTTGTTGTTTTATACTCCAATATGCATATATTCCAAACGCATAGCCCATCCTCCTTAAGATCCCTTAAACATGTTACAAATTTGAAGTGTCTCTGCATCAGTCAAGTGAGGCAGGCCAAAGTTACTCTAAAAGATCTTTTTCACATTTTATTTGAATATAATTCTAATAAATTAACATTTTGTAAGTGTGCAGTAAAGGG